GAGCCCAGGAACTGTGTTTTATTTACAGTGTGCACCCAGGAAGACTTTTGGTGCATATTTATTAAATATATGAATGCTTTATTATTAACAGTATTTTTTAAAGTAACGCAAATTATAATATTAAAAAGAGTAGGGATACACCTATTACATAGATCCGTTTTTGCCGAAAACATATTGTTCCTACACCATTCAGTGGAGAAAAGAATAGTCATTTCAACAATGGTGACGCTGGGACAACTGGATCTCCACATGAAAAAGAACAATTTTGGACCTGTAGCTCACATCAGAGGCAAAAATTAACTCAAAATAGAGCAAAAGCCTACATGTAAGACCTAAAACTATGAGAAGAAAAATAGGTGTAAATCTATGTGACCCTGGGTTAGGAAATAGTTTCTTAGCTATAATATCAAAAGCACCAGCAAGAAAGAAAAATAGATTACTTAGACTTCATCAAAATTAAAAACTTAGGTAAAAGTACACCAATAAGACAGTAAAAGACAACTCAGAATCGGAGAAGAGAGTGCAAATCATATATCTGATAAGGATCTACTATCTGGAATATATAAAGAACTTTTAACGCAACAAGAAGACAAATGGTCCACTTTTTTAAAAGGCAAAGGATTTGAATAGACATATTACTCCAAAGAAGATATACAAACAGTTAATAAGCAAATAAAAAGATGCTCAACATCATGAGTCATTAGGGAAATGCAAATCAAAACACAGTGAGATACAACTTCACACCTACTAAAATAGCGGTAATTTTTTTTAAAACAGGATATAGAAAAATTGGAACCCTCACATATTGCTGGTGGGTATAATGGTGCTGTGTGGAAAACAGCTTGGCAGTTCTGCAGAAAGCTAAACATAGTCTCCATGTGACTCAGTAAGTCCACCCCTATGTTGCCCAGGCTGGAGTGCAATGGCTATTCACAGGTGCAGTCGTAGCACAGCCTCCAACTGACCTTCAGCAGTCCTTCCAGGTCAGCCTCCCAGTTAGCTGGACTGCAGGCACATGCCACCATGCCCAGCTTGAAGAAAGAAAAATATTTTTAAATAAATTTAGTGTAGCCTAAGTGCTCAGTGTCTATGAAGTCCACAGTAGTGCAGTCATGCCAGAGGCCTTCACGTTCATTTGCCACTCACTCACTAACTCACCCAGAGCACCTGCCAGTCCTGCAAGCTCCTTTCATGGTAAGTGCCCTATACGGGTATACCAGTTTTTAATCTTTTATATTAATACTTTATTTTTACTGTATCGCTTCTATGTTTAGCTATGTTCAGAGACACAACACTTACTGTTGTGTGACAGTTGCCTACCATATTTAGCATAGTACCGTGCTGTGCAGGTGTGTAGCCTAGGAGTGGTAGGCTATCCCACATAGCCTAGGTGTATAGTAGGCTGTGCCATCTAGGTTTGTGAAAGGATACTTACTCAATGACATCCATACGATGATGAAATCACCTATCAATGCATTTCTCAGAAAGTATTCATTAAGAGATGCATTACTGTACATTTATATTAAATATAATCAAATTTGATTTACATGGATTAAAATACAAAATTTTAGAGTTCAGTTCCTCACGCCAGCCACATGTCAAATATTGAACACACTGTGGACAGCCTGCAGCTACCACATTGGACAGTGCAGGCGGCCACTAGGTTCATCACTGCTATAAGTCAGGGTCTGGCAGCTGCTGCTGTCCTGGTCTTTCACACAGCTCACCAGGGCCCCCAGCATGGCAGCTGGGCTCTGAGAGGGTGTGTTGCTAGAACTCCGGCTGGCTCTCTTAGGACCCAGAACCAGAAGTTGCGCAGCACTGGTTATGCCATATTCTCACCAAGTAAGTCGCAAGACACTGCAGACCTAGGCAAGAGGAACTTGTACTCCACCTCTCAATGGGAGGTGAAAAGAATTTTCAGCTATCTTTAAACCAACACAATTTCTCTGTGCCTCAGTCTCCTCATCTGAAAAATGAAAAGGACTGAGAAAGAAAAAGGGCAGCCCCTTCCATAGAGAAACTGGCTGGGTGCTACAGCTGCGCCACTGTTTTGTAAGACCTGAACCATCATGCATAAAACCAAATAGGCCAAGGTCACTGAGACATGATGACATGAGACAAAGCAAGGCCACTTCATGATGTGTCTTCACCTAGATGAAACGAGGTCACTTGCTGTGCCATTTACAAGACACTGAGCACCCCCTTTCTCAGCCGAAGTGAGCAGCCACTCACCCCTGACAGCCTGTCTGCGCATCCCCCCCTCTCTATATATAGGATTTAGATGGAAACCTAGTCGTGGCGTTGACCCGCTCTCTGGTAAGAGCCAATCCAGAGCAAATCCTGCTTCTTAAGACTCCCCCAATTCACCCAACCAAAGCTCAGATCTGATAGTTGGTTCTTTCTAATGCCTCCTGCTGAGACACTCTGCAGCAGGACTCCTGGCGAGGGTCAAACGTGCCCTTCACCAAATGGGCTTAAGTTAGCTCGAGGATGTCATTCAGTGGGGCTAAGGCAGAGACTTGAACTTGGTAGTCTCAAAGGAGTGCCCCCAAAATACAAGGACCACAGAGCTTGTGCCTCAGCCACCCAGACCTGCACTCTCTAGGCTGTGTGGAAAGGAGTTTGGAGAAGCCAGGGGAAAGGACACAGATGGCACACGCATGCGTGCTCAGACTGATTTGTGTCTGGGGTGAAATCCCACCAGCCCAGGTATCACTGGATGTCCAGCACCTCTTTCAGGCTAAAGGCATCACATGGATCTTTAGATTGCTAACAGAAGTGTCCAGGATTCCCAAATTTTGATGGGAGTGGGGATGGAGTTCGCCAAGAGCAAAAGGGTGTTTCTTTATCAAAGGTCACAGGTTCAAATCCCAGCAAAGGTCATGTAAGTCACACAGATATGGGAGGCAAGTGGGCGCAGGAAACACAGAAGCTCATGCCACAGGACAAAGAGCATACACTTTCCAGCTCACTACAGGGTCTGTAGGGATTGGAGGGGACTGTAGTCAAGTGCAGACAGCCAGGACAGTGCAGAGGGGCCCCCGGCAGATTGCCACTGCAGAGGTGGTGAGAGCATGGTGTCACCTTGTATCTTGATTTTCAAAAAATAAGCTCTGGGATTCTCCCAGTTTGTAAACATTGGTGACAAAGTCAAATTTTTTAAAAACAGGACAGACCAAACAAAACACAGCTGCAGTCTGAGTGTGGTGCTGGGCTCCTGTGGTCCCAGCTACACAGGAGGACCGCTCGCTTCAACCTCGTTCAAGGCTACAGTAGGCCATGATTGCACCACTGCACTCCAGCCTGAGTGACAGAGAAAGACCCTGTCTCTAAAACATATATTAAAAAAACATCACTGAGGTCAAGCTCTGTCATAGGCCCCTGTGCGGTTGTCTACTCTGGGAAAACTGGAATGGGAGAGTGCATCACTCCACCAGGCCCTCCCTCCCTGACCTGGCCCTTCCCCAATTCTGCCATGAGCCCCATGGGAGTCAGCTGGTACAGCAAGGAAAGTATGTGGTTCCTAGGGACCCTGGGTTTGCAGGGAGCAGGGGCTGCCCAGGGAGAGGACCCTAAGGCTGCACTGTGGGGCCTGAGCTGTTCTCGGCTCCAACTGTTAAGGCAACTGAAGCCTATACTCATCATGGCCACTTGGTTTCTCTTTTAATTGTTTTGATGAAAACATTTCTAACTGGACCATACATCCTTGCCTTCTGAAAGAGAAGACAGCACTGTTCCAGCCATGGCAACTGCAGCTGTGGCCCTTCCCCAATTCTGCCGTGAGCCCCATGGGAGTCAGCTGTCACTTCCCCCTGCAGCAGCCAGCAGCAGGCTGGCATACAGTGGCCCAGGGACGTCACCTGCTCCCTGGCATGGCTTGGTATGGAGCCCAGAGGGGGCCTGTGTACAGCTGGACGCCACCAGAGCCCTGCCTGTCCTTCAAGAGAGAAGGCGCCAGATGGGGAAAGAGTGATGCTGGAGCCCTGTGGGCTGCTCTTAAGATGTGTGTGCAGATTCATGCAGCAGCGTGCTTTCACGGAGACGTGGGACAGACAATGCACCCCTACAGTCTGTCCTGTCTCTCTCTCTCTCTGTCTTTCTGCCTCTGCCTCTCTCTGTAACACCCTCTCTTTGTCTCTGCCATGAGGGGATGCAGCAAGAAACTGCCTCATCAGGAATCACTCCAGCCAGCACCTGGTCTTGGGCTTGCAGCCTGCAAATGTGTTTCGTTTCTGTTGTTTGGGCCTTGGTGCCAGGCATTATGTGGCAGCTGCCCCAGCTGACCAACCTGGTTGCTGTGTTTCGAGGCCTCACATATTGGTTCTGGCAGGAAGAAGAGGTGAAGGCAAAAAGCAACCCCCCGGATCTGTCCATTTTATGAGAAAAACGACGCCTCTCAAGAAGCCCTACCCTACAGACCTCCACCTCATCTCATGGGCCAGGACTAGGCTAACAGTCCCTCCTAACAGCAAAGAAGGGTGGAGAATCAGGTGGTTTTTTACCCTATATTGCTGCCCACACAAACCAGGCTTTTGCCCAGAAGGGAAAGGGGAGAATGGCTGCTCCCCTTTAAGGTGGGTAGGGACCCAGAACCCAGCTGGCCTGCCCCTCTCTGGTCCACAGACACATGGGGTATCTGACTTTCCGTGGTCCTCAGTGGCCCACCCTGCAAGTTCTCTCTCGTTTCTCTGTTTAGGACAAGGCATTTGGTCATCCTCTGCAGGCACATGAGCCCTGGCCCTGACAAAAGCCACCTCCCCCACCCTGGTGACCTCTTATGAAGCTCCGGACCCAGCCATTGCTGGGCTGAAGGACTAGGGGAGGGGGTGCAAGACTCCAGCCTCAGGGGCCAATATGCTTCCTGTGGTCACCTTTGCTGTACCCCTCAGATTGTGCAGGGGGTGCCCCTGCGCTCTCATTTCTTCCCCAGTAAGTGTGTATTTATCCTTAGGGAAGACCCAGCCTGCCCATCCCACCAGCCCACAGTGCAGCACAGCTCTGTTGAACCCTTTATTTCCCGGTCTATCCTCCTTCCTGGACTCCTCCAGGCCAGCAGCCCAGGGCACCAAGGGTCCAGAAAGTGCTTGTACAGACAGCAGATGGGCAGCAGACAGACAGAGCTTCGTGGAGGCTGGCAGGCAGCCAGGAAGCAGAGGGTATGATCATCCTGGCCAGGGAATGCTCAGCCAGTGTTCACGGCAGGGCCGCCAGGCAGGCTTGAGACTTGGCTCTGAACAAACATTCACAGCCCTCAGGGCTCCCAGGCAAGCAGCATGGCTGTGGACAGAAGGCTGCATATCTCTGGGCCTCAGCGGGCTGTCTGTAAAATGAGGCTGTGGTAGCACCCTGTGAAGGGCACCATGAGGGTCACGCAAGGCCGTGTGAGAAGTGCAGGCGGTGCGGGTGTGCAGGAAGGGCATGCACTGTGGTTGGGCAGGTGAGGATGCTGGGGAGGAAGGGAGGCAGGGGTGGCAGCTGTCGGCTCCCTCAGAGCTGCAGGGCCTGCCGCAGCACCCGCTCGTCCCCCACATCATGGGGCAGTGTCACCACTAAGCCGCTATTCTCCTGCATGGTCTGGCAGATGATCTCATAGGCCTTCTGGTTCCCTGACCAGCACCGCCGGGCCACCTGGAGCAGGGAGGAGGATAGCAGTCCATTTCAACACGACCAGGCTCCCCACGTGCGTCCTGGCTCCCACACTCGGGCCGTTTGCTTTGAGGCTATCCATGGAGCCAGCTGCCCTCTTCTCTCTGCCCCATCCCTACCCCCAACTCAGCCTCCCTGTCTCTGGCCCTCCTCTGGGATCTGAAACTGGCAGCTGTCACACCCAGTCCCGCTCACCCATCTCCAAGAATGGTCTTGCCTCCTGAGTCCTCCACAGCACCTCCCTCCACTCTGTCCTCCTAGAATCCTAGAATCCACCTCGACTTCAGACCTGAGCTCTACCTTCACAATCTCCCTGCAGTCTTTCTTCCCTCCACCTGTTCTCCCCTGAACAACACCACACCTCCTCCCCCATTCCCTCCTGCCATTCTTGCAATGCCTCCCACCCCTGCCATCCACATGGTCCCCACACCTGCCCCAACCCACTTTGCCATGCCACAACTGGGGCACCTCCTAGAACAAAACCTCACTGCTCCAGGATGAAGACCTCCATCCCCAGCCCCACCAGAAGCCCTGCAGCTCCCAGTGAGTTGGGGGGAGTCTCCTGCCAGTACCCGCTCTGTCCTCATCATCATGCTCCAGGCCCAGCCCCGGGGCTCTCAGTCAGCCAAGCTGTCTGAATTCTTGCCTTGGCTCCAAGCCTCCTCCCATTCTCTGGGTCCCACCTGTCTTCCCATCATAATCTGACCTGACCTCCGTTTGAGGGGCTTCCCCCTTCCTGGCTGCTGTGCTGTGCTGTGCTCATGGGAGGAATCCAGCCCCTGTCCCCATACCCAGGAGATGCTGTGTGACAGCAAATGTGGATGGGGGTCACCCAGCTGAAGGCCCTGCCAGCTTAAGCTGCTGACCCGCCTTTGGGGACCGTGGAGAGAAAACAGGGATGCTCTCCCAGAGGAGGGCTTGGGGCCACCAGCGGATGCCTGTGTGGACAGAGGCAGGAGACCCACAGGAGACTCTGGAAGTGGTCCCCAGAGTCGCAGGGGTGGTCTGCTGAGGAGGGAGCCCTGACAGTGGCCGGAGAGAAGAGGCATGGCCAAACAGGCATGGCCAAGCAGGCTGAGCTCCTGACTGTTTTCCGGGGAGGAAGGGGCGGAGCTCGCTCTCAGGTCTGCGATCTGTAGAGGCAGAGCCACTGATGGGACAGAAGAGGAGGTGGTGAGACCTGGGCTGACTTACACCATTGGAGACGTCCCAGCTGAGCATCAGCCTGGCTCTCTGCTCTGCCTCTGGGGTCCCATCCAGGACAAGGCCGAATCCCCCGTTGATCACCTCACCCCTGCAGAACGGAGAGGAGTTTCCAGTTCACTCCTTGGGCCCAACCCTGAACAGAGCAGGCAGAAGCCCATGTTTTGGAAGCATTGGCTTGAGACAGTGTTAGGGTTGGGGCCCCTATGCCGCCGGCCTCTGCAACCTGGTGGATGCAGGAGTTGTGCAGGCAAGCAGAGCTGAGAGCAGCGTGACCACCTGCCACCCCTCTGCCCACTTGTGCCCTCTGTGCTGGGCCCATTGGCCTCGCACCCACCTCCAGCACCCATTGGAGGTCACCCCCTGTGGGCTGTGGCCCCTTACTCCATGCATTCTCAGAGTGCTGCCCTATAAAGCACACTCCCCTTGGTGTGTCTTGCATTATTTTATTCAGTCATCACACTTTCTGGTTTTATCTTTTTATTATTATTATTTATTTATTTATTGTGAGATGGAGCGTTCCCCTTGTTGCCCAAGTTGGAGTGCAACGGTACGATCTCGGCTCACTGAAACCTCTACCTCATGGGTTCCAGCAATTCTCCTGCCTCAGCCTCCACAGTAGCAGGGATTATAGGCATGTACCATCAGGCCTGGCTAATTTTTTGTATTTTTAGTAGAAACAGTGTTTTACCATGTTAGCCAGGCTGGTCTTGAACTCTTGACCTTAGGTGATCCACCCACCTTGGCCTCCCAAAGTGCTGGGATTACAGGTGTAAACCACCATGCCCAGCCCCTGGTTTTATCTTTTTAAAAAAATCTTTTTTAGAGATGGGGTCTGGCTATGCTGCCCAGGATGGCCATGAAATTCTGGCCTGAAGCAATACTCTTGCCTCAACCTCCCAAAGTGCTGGGATTACAGGCATGGGCCACTGTGCCCTGCCTGATTTCATCCTTATGATCTTTATCTTCCTTATTTCTTCTTTCTGCTTGCCTCAAGTATAGTGGGGTCCTTCTGATTACCTGACCCAAAGACTAAGTTCCTTTATTTTCAATATTTCTGATTTTCTAATTAATGCATTTCTCTGCCTCTAACAGTTTTTGACAAGTTCTTGTTTTCATTTGTTTCCTAATAGATGAGTTGAACTTCGTTAAGTGTGTTGAAGCTCTGCTGCTGTTTCCATGCCTGTGTACTGCAGCTGTTCCCCAACAGCCTGGAACGCCTTTCCCATCCTCAGCTGTCCACCTACCAGCTGGAGCTGCTGCCCTTGAAGGATACACCCTTGGCTCCTGCTCAGTCTTCTCAGCTTTCAGACACATACGAGAAGCACCCTTGATTTTGTAAACGCCTGTCACTGCATTGCTGCAAACTTGTCCCTCCTGCCTCTTGTTCCTCACTTGCAGTAAATCTGTTCCTTTTTCTTCCAGCACCAAAAATGTGCATCTGGTTTCCCTAGTCTCAAATCCTTCAGGCTCATCCAGCTTTCCCTGCTTCTCTGCCCAGCCTGGATCCTACTGACCACAACCTCAGCCAGTTCTCACCAGGAAACCAAGATGCCCTGTGCCCCTTGCAGCCACCTGTACTCCCCATCCCTGTTCCCAGAAACTGCACCACCCCTCCTGTGAGTGAGCCAGCTGTGCTGCCTACTACCCTGCATCCCTGCACCTGGCTGGTCCATGTCCTGAAATGGGTTGCCCTCACACCTCCCACCAGCTTCCAGGTGCTCCGAGTCAATCTACAGTCATTACCATTCACCTGTCAGAGAATCAACAGCCACGCCCAGGCCTGAGCACTCCCAGTGTCCTGCAGCTAGAGAGGCCTCTTGGAGATTAGAACTACAGATTTTGTTTGAGAAGCCTGCATCCCAGAGGGTCAGAGACCAAGGACACTTGGCTTCAGATGACCTTGGCGAACTGACCACAATGGAACCCTGGACATGCAGATCCCAGGAAAATGGGAACAATAATGCATTGCAATTAATGGTTAAGTTTGGGATTACTCACAAATGGTGCTGGAACAACTAAATGAAAGTAGAAAAACATAAATGCCAGATGTATAATTCGATGAGTTAACATATATGAATAATTTAGAAGAGGCCCTTGCATGTGTTACACTCTACAGGCGTTAGCTCTGATCAGCTCATTTCCTCTTCACCCCTAGCCTACAAGGCAGTTACTATTATTATGCTTATTTTCTCATTGAGAAACAAAGGCACAGCAAGCCTACCCTGTGCAGGCAGATGGCCTGAGAACTCCTGCCGTCAACCATTGCGCTCCAGGGCTGTCCATCAGGGCATCTCCCTCCCTGCGTTGGGGAGGGGGCGGGGTGCGCAGGCAGAAGGCTTGCAGGAGTGTGCAGGAGGGCTGTGTGCACAGAGGGCCTTGGAAGCCCTGGCTACTCAGAGGGGTCCTCGGACCAGAGCATCAGTGCTACCAGGAGCTTGCTAAAGGGGGTCTCACTATGTTTCCCAGGCTGGACTCAAACCTCCTGGGCACAAGCAATCCTCCTGCCTAGGCCTTCAGAGTAGCTGGGACTATAGGTGTGCACCACCAGGCCTAACTCAGACCTGCATTTTTACAATAATCTGCATTTAAATAATATCCTCAGAGGATTTCTGCGCACATTCAAGTTTCAGATGCACTAAGACATTGTTTAGTGTGAAAAAGTGTCAGTATCCAGATATATGATAGATGGTGGGTAGAACACAGGCATTTATCCTTGCCCCTCCTGCATCTCACTGCAGGACTACAGAGGAATTATTTAACCCATGAGGATGAGGAGAAAGGGACAGGAGAACAGGCGATGGGATTCTGAAAGCTGGAAGCAGGCGTCAGAAAGCTCCAGCTCAATGTGGCCATGGGAGGCGCTGGCAGAGCCCATTGGCACCCCAGTACCCAGGGAACCTCAGGAGCTGGTGGTCAGCACCAAGGGCCTCCAAAGGAGGGCAAGAGTGGAGGTAAAGTCAGGAACACCAGCTGGAAGCCTGCTCACCTGAGGTGGGCTCCCAGATGCCCACCCACCTGCTGCCTAGAGGCTGCCCGAGCAGGCCCTCAGCGGCCACGGGAACTGACCCTCTCACATGAGAGGCCGCAGCACCAACAGGGAGGCCCCACCCCTCTCAATGGGCCCTCGCAAAAGGGAAAGAGATCAGAAAAGTCTTTTCTGAGATTCTACCAACCCAAGAACAAGAGCCTGGCTCTCATCTTGATCTCTTGCACTATATGACCCAGCCAGATGGCCCTGTCCTGCAGCCTGCGGTCCAGACATCCACCTGAGCATGTGGGGCTGTGGCCAGCCAGGCAGTGCCCTGTCTGAATGTGAGCGCTGGGCAGATGGCACAAAGACAGACGGCAAACGGGCAATCAGGAAGAGGGGCTGCAGGAGACAGTGGCACAGAGGAGGCCAGAAACAGCATACAGCTGTCGCTGGTTGTCCTGGAGTGGAGCCAACAGAGAAGCGTAAACATGGAAAGGTCAGTCCAGGAATGTCAGGGTGAGCATGCAGCCTAGAGACAGGGATCAACGTGAAAGAAGGAGAAACATGTTGCAGAGTTGTGGGGGTGGGGCATCCCCTTGGAGTAGCCACAGTGGGGATGGAGTTGGAAGGGGTATCCCCTTGGATGCCATGGTGGGGACGTTATTGGGAGTGGCGTCCCCTTGGAGTAGCCATGGTGGGGATTGTTGGAAGTGGTGTCCCTTTGGAGTAGCCATGGTGGAGGGTCAGACATTTTTCCGATGGATTGCATTAAGTACATGTGTAAGTGTGATGGGTCCCAGGGTGAATTTGCGACACTTTTCCAAAAGACCCCTCAAGGACAGCAGGGTAAAAGGGTATAGGTCCCAGTGTCTGGTCAGTCTGTGACCCTGTCCACAGAGTCCGGGGGAAACCTTGGGGTAGCAACTTAGGAATTTGCAGGGAGCATTCCCTGCCTTGGGGAGCCCTGAGGGCAGAGTACACTGTGTCCACCTGAATTCTGGCCCTGCTGTCCCTGCCCCAAGGCCCTCAGGGTGTGCACTCTTCCTCAGCCTGCCCAGCCCCATCCCTCCCTGCCTTCGGCTGTCTATCAACAATGATGATGGATCCTGGGGGACCTGGGCTCAGACCCCGGCTCTACCGCCAGCAGTTGGCCCTGGGCAAACTGCTCAGCCTCCTTCAGAGCCACTCTCTTGCCCTCTGGAAATGACTCAGAAAATCCTGTGCAGAAATGCCAGGTACCCAGCAGCCAGGCAGCCCTTCTCCACCTGGGGTTTTCTACAGCCCCTGTGTCGGAAAGGACGTGCTCTCAGTCACATTTTCCTCTAATTACAGCCACCTGACTGCCACAGTGTGAAACTGCAGCCTCCAAGGACAGGAAGACAAGCCAGCCTGTCGCAATTCTCTGCCGGGACTTGACTCTGGAGGGCAGGGGACCACTTGATCCGGCCAAAATGGGCTCAGTGGCCAGTTTGGAGATGGCCACTGGAGCCAGGCAGGGGGCAGGGTGTTGTCCTCCTTCCAAAGCTGCAGCACCGCCTGCTGTTCCCCGCAGCCCAGAATCCAGCTTCGGCCAGGAGCCCAGACCTAGGGCCCTTTTCTCAGAAAGGCCAGCCAGGCAGAGGCAGAGCTGAGGGGAGAAGGGAGCTGAGACTCCAGGTCTCCTGCCCCCAGCCCAGCTACCCTGGCAGCCTTGGCTGGGTCCTGCACTCTCAAGTGAGGTGGTCATAGCAGGAATGATAAGACCCTGGCCATGAAAGCACCAGGAATTCCATGGGAACACATGGAAACTGACATGCTGGAAACTGACATGATGGCAGCTACCATTCTTGCTGAGCCTCCATAAGAGGCCTCTGAGACCCACGCAGCAGGGGAGACCCAGAGAGGTGGGTGGCTAATGCAAGCCCTCTCCTAAAGTTCTTCCCTCTGTCTCTGCTCACTTGAGGAACACATTTTCCACAAAGGTGTGGCAACGCAGGTGACCAGGGAGGTAGGGCCCAGGACTTCAGGTACCTCAGCCTGGCCCTGCCCCAAAGGAACCCCCAAAACTTCCATATCAGCCCCACACCCCGTCCTTTGAAACCTTCTTACCAGCCCACGCCCCCTCCGTTGTGAAGGGCAACCCAGGTGGCTCCGCGACAGGCGTCTCCCACGAAGTTCTGCACAGCCATGTCTGCGGAAATAGAGACACTCCTGCCCATTATCCCCTGCACTGGGTGGGCACCAGGCCCAGTCAGGCCAGCCTTGGGTGGGGAAATCAGCAGGCCCCACTGGCTGAGCCAGCACTGCTCAGTGGGAAGGACAGGGCGGCAAGTAGGCCCTAGGGACAGGGCCTCTCACAGCAGCAGTCACTCTATGTGTGCTGGCAGAGCCAGAACTGGAGCAGGAGAAACTGACACATGCCTAGTTGTCCCATGGTGGCGCTCTCCAGCACTGAGCACCAGGTAAAGCACCCCAGAAGCAGAGGGAACAAAAAAATTAAAAGGGATGCGGAACCAGCGTTAGAAAAGTACGGGTGCCAAAGAAAGTCACTCCTGCTCTTAAAAAGGGGGGCAGAGGAGCAAACTGCCAATGAATGGCTTCCCTTCACCCCATTAGGGAACTGAGGTCCCAGGACAACCATACAACCTGAAAGCTGGGTAGTGAGAGCATCTGCAGAGAAAAACCGAGCCCAAGCTGGTCACCTTGCAAGTTCAACACATTGCTAAGGGACAGGCGTGGGCCAGCCTGAGACCATGAGCCCCTAGGAGGACAGTGATAAAGGAGTTTGCACCCTCTTGCAGGCTCTTCCTCCAAAAACCCTACAGAGACGATCACGGAGAACCCGAAGAATATCTCCCTTCTCTTGGTGCCAGGCTGCAAAAATGGGGAAGAGACCAGGAGCCAAAAAAGGCAAGAAATGCAGCTCTAGGATCTGGAAAGGCAAGGAAGCAGCTGGCCACCCACAACCTGAAGGTCACCCACATCCAGGGCACTCAGCCAGCCCGGCGTGGCACTCACCAGTTTTACAATGGGAAAACCCACATCCCAGAGCCGCTTGGTCCAGGGGTGGTCACTCTATGCCGAGTCTCTCAGATGCCAGAACATCTTTCGAAACATCATGACTGACTAAATGCATCAATGTTTAATAAAATCCCAATCTAACATTAAAGTTTAAGACATTTTCGCCTTCCTCACCTGCACAGAAGGCAGAGCCATCATAAATGTTGGAGGTCTCCCTAAAGGGGCTGTCAGTGCCGCTCACATCATGGTGGTCTCGGCTCAGGACCACCGGCGCCTGTGCATGGAAGGACAGAAGCTGTCAGCCAACGGTGTCCACTATGGTTGCGTGGCGAAGGCCGAGGACATGGGGCAGGCCACACCAGAACCCACTAGATTTCTCCGCCTGGGAAATAAGACCCTCTTCACAACTATGTCTGATGTCATCTGTAGCTTGGAATAGATTCACGTTTCCGGCAGCACCAGTGTAATACATGTGTGAGTTCACCGAGTGCTCACAGCCACCCTGTCCAGATATGCACAACTGTTATCATGCCCACTTCATAGACAAGAAAGTGGAGGCACAGAGAGGAGAAGAAATTTCCCCTACATCACAGAGCGAGTTAGTCATGAGCTGGGGTTTAACCCTACAGGTGTTACGTGCCAGTGCTCCCCGTCTTACAATGGAGCTAAATCTGGATAAGTAAAAAGTGAGTTAGAGTATTTTCAACTGACGATTTACTCATCTGGACTCAACTTCATTGCATGACAAGAGAGTACTGAACAAGTGTCGCTTTGCACATTGTAAAGCAGAAAAATTGTTATAAGTCCGAGTCTCTGCTTAGTGTGGGCTAAGCCTGGCCCCTGACCTGTGCAATAGGGACGTGGCTGGCCGATGGCCCGCAGGTGTCGGAGGGCATCACTGGGGGAGTATTTATTTGGCAGTACATACCATAAGACTTTGGGCAGGTCACTTCCCTCTGGGCATAGCTCTTGGTTTCCTGGATAAGGCAATTGCTATGAGCCTTTTCGTGCTGCCAGTCTCTGTGAGGACAAAGACTTTTCGCACGTAAAAAGCACTCGCACTGAGTTTGATTTTTTAATACACTCATTGGCAGCACTCCCTGTTCCCCAGGAATCTCTGCCTGCTTAGATACCCCAGAGAGGCAGCGGGCTGCTGCTTAGCCCTCATGTAATGGGTGTGGTGCAGCCCTAGAGGTCAGACAGGGCAGGTCAGCTGGCTCCCCTGTGCTGTGCACCGGCAGTCCCGCTATGAAAATGAGTCCTGGCTGGGTGCGGTGGCTCACTCCTGTAATCCCAACACTTTGGGAGGCTGAGGCCAGGGGATCACTTGAGGTCAGGAGTTCAAGACCGGCCTGGCCAACATGACAAAACCGCTTTTCCACTAAAAATACATAAATTAGCTGGGTGTTGGGGTACACACCTATAATCACAGCTACTCAGGGAGCTGAGTCATGAGAATTGCTTGAATCTGGGAGGCAGAGGTTGCAGTGTGCTGAGACTGCACCATTGCACTCCAGCCTGGACTATAGAGCGAGACTTTCTCAAAAAAAAAAAAAAAAGAAAGAAAATGAGTTCTAACCAGCAATTTAAAAAACAGAGTGAAGGACTGGGAGGAACCCTGACTGAAGAGAAGGAGTAAGGGGAGCCATCCGACACCTGGCATGGGGAGCATATCAGCCTGGTTCTGCACTTTTCAGTCAGGAGAGGGAGCAGGCAGGTCAGTATGTGGGTGGTTCGCTGTGCATACGTGGAGCAGCTCAGCTGTTCTAGCTAAGAAGAGCTATTCCTATCCCCAGGCCCTGGAAACTTTTCTTCCAAGTGTCCAGTAAAGCAGGTGGGGTTGGTTGATGGGCGTGATCTCCCCTTCCCTGCCCTGGGGATCCTGAAATTTCACAGGCCCCCTGTGTCAGAGGATGCTCTGTGCTCCTGCATGAAGAGGCCCGCCTCTCCCTCCTTCAACAGGCCAGGCCTGCTCCCATGTCGTCACCCGTGCAATGAAACCACCTTCCCCTAGATACTCTGGCACTCATTGGCCATTCAGGTCTCAGCTCAATGTCAGAACTCAGAGAGGCTGTCCTGCCCACCCTCTTTGCCAGGTTCATTTCCTGCATGCCGCTCCTCACCCTCTGAAACCCTGTCTCAATGTGTGCCTTCAGCTCCAGGTCTGTCGCCCTTCACCTCGCTACACAGGTCTGTCTTGTTCTCTGCTGTGTCCCCCCTGGTTAGGACACGCTGCACAGAGGCCATGCTCAGCCAAGTACTGTCCAGTGAATGAACGCATGCTTACTGACCCACAGCACTTACTGTGCTGGCTGGCTGACCACAGCCCGGGGCGAGTACACCTGGAGCTTCCCAGCAGTCCCCATGAACACCTGGGCCTCCAGGAAGCACCGGGTGGGCATGTTTGGCTGTGCCCCAGCAGGGCTGGCTGCCGCCCTTGCTGCTAGTGCCACCCCCAGAATCACCCCAGGGTGGCGTTCACACCTCTGTCCCAGTGTCTGTTACATCTGACCAGTAACATTCCTGGAACTTGTGGAAAGAGACACCCACAAGAATTCTGTGGCAAAGGAGCCAGAGCCCCTGGGAGCGAGCACACCCAGGGTTCCATCCTCGAGGCAGGTCTGGCTGATTCGGAGCAAAATGAGCAAAAACTAGGGAAATTTGCCATTGCTTGAGGAAAGGGAGCTCCATAAAGATGTGTAAAGTTACTTTGTGGAAGCAGACTTACTCAATCCTCACACACAAGCTTTTTATTCTCTTTTCACAGAAGAGGGACACCAAGGTTCAGAGAAGGCCCCAGACCTGCCCAATGTCACACAGCAGGGGACAATGATGGAACCTGACACACACAGAGCCAGGTCCCCAGACACCTCCCCCAGTCCCAGAGGGTCCTTGGAGCCCCTGGGCTACCTGTGCTCCAGGAAGGTTACCTATTGCGAGCACTGCTCTTGCTCCCCGAGGCCTTCCTTCCCCCTCACGGCCACCTCACCCTCACCTCCCCAGCAGAACCCTTCTACCCAGTTGATCTCAGGGACCAAAGCCTTCAACAAAACCTGGTCTCCCTAAAGAGGAGACATTTGGGCCTCAGCCCTGGGAGGTAAGCTCCCAGGAGGGGCTGGTCCACTGCTCCTGAGCACAGGGCTGCCAAGGCCCAACAATGAGGTCTCCCCACCCAGAAGGCTGTCGGGAGCAGCCAAGGTATAGGCGGGAAGTCCCAGGGCAGCAAGGACAGCAGGAAGAGGCGAAGGGATGCTTTCCCCAGAGCACAGAACACCTTACCTTGATCCTCCCATGGGCGATGGCCTGGTTAATGGCCACAGCAATGGCCACACGGCCCTTCTGGTCCGAGTACAGGATCCTCGCCTGGGAGCCCACCACCTTCAGACAGAAGGGTGACAGGCGTCTGAGCCACAGGCAGCAATGCCAGGACTTGGTGGTGCAGGGAGACATAGGCAGCACTTCCACCAGGGGATATGGCCCTTGGCAGCCTGAGCGCCTGTCTCACAAGGTCCAGGAGGACCCCTGAGGTGCATGGTACATCTTAAGTCTGTGGCCTGAGGTGAGCCCCCACATTCAGCCCACTAGACAGCCACACTGGCCCCACATGTCCACTGCAGCCTGGGACCCCAGACACCTCTCCCAATCCCAGATTATCCCCAGAGGGGCCTTGGAGCCCCCGAGCCACCTGTGTTCCAGGGAGATTACCTATTGTGAGCACTGCTCCCGTTCCATCTCACAGTGATGACATCAACACCTCCTAGGGCCAATTTGCACTGGGCGTGCCTCACTTGAAGTACCCACACAGCCCCTCAGCTATGAGTCTTATGGGAAGACACTGTCATCCTCATCATACGCTTCATCTTCCAGATGAGGAAACAGCCCTCTGTCCAGAGGTTGGCCTTAAGCCTCTGTCTATCTGCTGCACCCAGGAGCTCAGCCACCCAGCAATCGCATCTCCTGACGGTAACTGGTGGTTGCCCGAGGGAGGCAAAGCTTCAGCACACGGAATGAGTTATTGTGTACCCCACGGTCCTCAAGCAGGGTGGCATTTGGCAATGACTGAAGATGTTTGTGGGTGCTGCTAACATGGGTAGGGATGCTGCTAAACACCCTAAGACGGCCCCCACGATGGTGAAGCCCCCAATGACTTCAAGAGATACATGCACGCATGCGTTCACAGCAGCATGACAACAGCCGAGAGGTGGAGGTGACTTGGGTGTCCAGTGGAATGTGATTCAGCCTTAAAAGGAAGGAAATTCCAACGCATGCTACAACATGGATAAATGAACCCTGAGGACATTATGATAGGAGAAATAAGTCAGGCACAAAAGGACAAACACTGTCTGATCTCACTTCCCTGAGGTTCTTACGTTGAGTGCCAGGGGCTGTGGGAGCAGAATGGGATTAGTGTTTAATAGAAGCAGAGCTTTGGTTTGGGAAGATGAAAAAGTTCTGAGATGGGTGGTGGCGATGGCTGCACAGCAGTGTGAATGCACTTAAAGCCACTGCACTGCATGCTCAGAAATGGTAAAGATGGTTACCATGGTGAATTTTATGTTTATGTACAATTTGCCATAATTAAAGCTTTATTCATTCCCCAAGTGTCAGTACACTGAGGCTGAGAAACCCTGGTTTCTCCAAAGAAGATGCAGGTGTCTGTCCCAGCAGCTGGTGAGCTCAACCAGGAGCCGGTAAAGGCGACAGGGCTGGGCCGCAGAGGCAGTTGTGCACCTGGCCGCCAGCTCAGCTTTGGCTGGGCCCGTGAGTCTAGCTGCTTCTTCCTCCCTCATGGGTTCCTAGAGAACAGCCTTATTTTACTCACACCAGCTGCCTCAAATACTTTTCAGAAAAGCTACTTGTGTGAATTAGCACTGCAGAGATTTTCAAATTTTTTGGATCCAAAAAAAAAAAAAAAAATGGTGAGGAACTGACATAGCACTGCCCACTTTGTCAAGAGTGTACATTAAAAGAAAGTAAATCAAAACACTTTAGAAGGCAACTTTCTGCAGTCACTGTTCAGAAGAGGAAGCAACATTAAGTCTCAAGAGGCGCACGATCTCCAGGGTACTTTAAGTCAAAGCAGATGTGCCCTGCTCTCTGCTCTAGCTGTGGCTTCCACCCCTCGCACCCTTGACTCTGGCACCTCTCGAGGCCCCTTCTCAGCCATGCTGGCATCTTCCCAGGCTATCTCCCCTCTCTTCTCCACCCCATCTCTGCACTGACCCACAGCTCCAGCCTCCGAGTCTTGGCCTTGGCATCTCTGACTCAGCACCGTCACAGATATGCAGCCCTCAGGAGGGCTCTGAGGCTGGACACAAATGTAAATCACTGCATATGGACGAGACAGCCCAGGACAGGGGCAGGCCCCTCCCAGCCCTGGGACTCCTGGGCCAAGACCACTAGTTCAGACATGGTCTGTGGCCAAAGGCATGTGCACCAAATGCCCACTTTTTTTCCATTTTGTCCTCAGTACACCCAGCCTGCTGCCACCATGGAGCCTTGCACAGGCTGGTCCCTCTGCCTTACCCGATTGTCATGTGGCTGCCACCCTTTTGGCATGTAGACCTGGACACACATGCCAGACCCCTTCCCTGGCCACTCTTGTGAGGCAGCCCCACCCGCCCTTCCCCGCTGGTGCTTTCCAGCATACACACCCAGCGGAAACCAGGCAAGACACGTCTGTCAGCTCAGCCCCACAACATAGCCCTGCACAAGCAGGGCCACAGGGGCCGGCTCCAAACACCATCACCACCGCCTCCGCTTTGCAGATTAGGGCATGAAACAAGCCCAGGCAGCCTGGCTCTAGAGCCCAGATGTTTTCCCCTGCATTTGTTGAGTACCAGGCGGAAGAATGACCTGTCCAACCCTGGTCACTACCCAAGAGCCCAGGACACTTTTCCCCTCTTTTTTTTTTTTTTAGTTTTGCTCTTGTTACCCAGGCTGGAGTGCAATGGCATGATCTCGGCTCACCGCAACCTCCGCCTCCTGGGTTCAGGCAATTCTCCTGCCTCAGCCTCCTGAGTAGCTGGGATTACAGGCACGCGCCACCATGCCCAGCCAATTTTTTGTATTTTTAGTAGAGACGGGGTTTCACCATGTTGACCAGGATGGTCTCGATCTCTTGACCTCGTGATCCATCCACCTCAGCCTCCCAAAGTGCTGGGATTACAGGCATGAGCCACTGTGCCCACCCCCCCTCAAGTTTTTAAATTACAAAATACACGTTACATAAAATGTACCATCTTAACTATTTCTAAGTACACAGTTTCGTGGTACTAAGCTGATTCATAATGGAAACCTATTGCCCCTCCATCTCCCTATTCCGCATCCCCCAGCCCCGGCACCCGCCATTCCACTTTCTGTCTCTGAATTTGCTGCTCTGGGGACCTCACAGATGTGGAACCATGCAGTATTTGCCCTTCCGTTATTTCACCTAGCATGGTGTGGTCCAGGTTCATCCGTGTTGTAGCATGCGTCAGCACTCCCTTCTGTTTGAGGCTGAGTCATATTCTATCTCGTGGTTAGCCCACAGTGTTTATCTGTTCTTCCATCAGTGAACACCCGAGTGGCTTCCACAGCTTAGCCACTGTGAATAGTGCTGCTGTGAACGTGAGCGTGTAAGTATCTCTCCGAGTCCTTGCTTCCAATTCTTTGGGCTACACATCCAGAACTGGAATTACTGGGTCATTGGCTAATTCTATTTTTGATTTTTTGAGGAAGATTGTTACTGTTTTCCATGTGGCTGCACCATTTCACCAACAGTACACAAGGGTTCGAAAATCTCTGTGTCCTCACCTAGGCTACCCTTTAAAGGCCCCATGCTTCTTTCTCCAGCAGCCCCTTGGGCAAGGCAACTGCTGCCTCCCCTCCCAGTGTGGCCAACCTGGAGCTGGCACAAATAGTCACATGAGGTCTGGTGTGTGCAGCCTCTTGGGGCTTGGCAAGCTGGAGGCTGTGGGCCAGGCAGAGCACCCATCAGCATCCCTGCACCTCCGGGCAGTCTCCTGACGGTGCAGCTATCCCAGCCTCCCCCAGGCCCGGGCACTCACCAGCTGGTGCCTGGCGGCCTCCTGGATCCAGCGGATGTTGTCCATGTACTGCAGCTTCACAGACGCCTTCACTGCAGGGGAGAGGAGAGCTGGTGTCAGAGCCCCTGCAGGGGCACAGACCTGCCCTCGGGCAGGCTGCTCAGCACAGGCCCTGCTACTCACCACAGACCCTGCCCTGAGCCCACCATTGAGCCAGGACACAAGGTGAGGGAGCCCACCCCACCCCACCCCTGCCTTCCTGAACTTGGGAACCGGCAGTGCCTATGGCCCCATGAATTAATCCACAGCTACGCAGTGCAGTGCACTTGCCTGATGCAGTCGGTCCCTCCACTAATAGCTATTCAGTGCCCACTGTACTCTAGCCCCGAGCAAGGCACCAGTAATAAAGACCATGTGGGCCATGAGGAATACAGGACTGAGGCGAGGTGGGCCCCAGGGTGGTGGGTTTGGGGGCTCTCTGAGGAAGTGGCCGTCAAGCTGAGTCTAAAGGCTGGGAAGGAACTGGCCACCGGAAGCTCTGACGGAACAGCATTCCAGGCAGAAGGAACAGCCAGTGCAAAGGCCCTGAGGTGGAAATGAACTTGGCCTGGGCAGGAGCTAGCCAGTCAAGCTTACAGAGAGCGTGCGCATGTGAGGGGGCACGGGAGCCAGCCTGACCAGCTCCTGAAGCAGACTGGTAATTTTCCAGAAATTGTGTGAGCCAGTGGTTAACAAAGATCCAAATTATACTAAAAATGAAGGTAATAGAAATCCCTCACTCCTGTGATTTCACAGCCATCGACTAATATCTGCCTGGTGGCAATGCCACAGTATGTGCGCTGCAGGGACGTGGAGCTGAGTCAGCATGGCTGGAAACCAGCCAGGCCTGGAGTCTTTAAACCAGGAGTTTCACAGGTGCAGCATCTCAGGGCTTCTTTCCAGAGGGCTGGTCATCCCCACCGGCTGCCTGCTGTTCTCGCACCAGGGAGGCCCAGGAGGCATCTGACCAGACCCCCAGGAGAAGGCCCTTGCTTCCCCTGCCCTCCTGCCTGGGCCCCTGCCCAGCCCCTCCTGCACAGGTGGCCGTGTCTCCCCACCACCTGGCTCTCCTGCCCTGGGTCTGTGTAACCCGGTCCCCTGCCCAGCCCACTGAACCTGGCCAGCAGCAGGGTGGGAATGGGCCCTAGAGGTGTGAAGCACACAGCAGTGGCTGGTGACCCACACAAAAAGGCCACCTGACCTGCAGGAAAGCTGCAGAGAGACCGGGGTAAAAACTGCAACAATGGAGGAAGCATCATTAAATAACCGCAAAACAACAACGTCAGACCCACTCAACAAGAACAAAGGTGGGTTAAAAAACAGGCGGGCCATGTAGACATGGAAAAACATAACCCTCTGGCGGAACCAATACTCAGCATCAGCAAAACCCAGCATGAACATGGGGGACCCTGATACAGAGGAGACCCTTTCGGACCTGGTGGGCGTGGAAGGCCAGCAGAAGCCCCATGTGGAGGTGGCATCATCACGGATGGCAGCAAGAAGGAGTTAGAAGCACTGCCGTCAACACTGCCCCGGCCATGTGCAAGGGGCATTGGGTCTGAGAGGGACCGGGGTGTGCTTAGGGCTGCCCAGTGATCCTGGCCTCAGCTGTTGCTGCCTGGCTACCCTAGGCCTGGACTGTCCTGCTTCAGCCACTTTGAGGGGCTTTCTGTCACTTGCAGCCAGAGGTCCTTACTGGCAGAGCTCAGGACAGCTCTGGAGGGCAGAAGCTTGGTGTGGGTGAATCACCCACCCACAGGCATCCCCACCAGTGGCATCACCTCCATCAGCAATGGCTTCCTCCAGCACAGATGTGGCCAGTTCGTCTGTAATCGCCAGGTCTTGGGGGTCCCCCGATGTGCAGACCCAGCGGAAAGGCCCAAATCCCTGGGAGAATATGTCCCTGCAAGCACAGATACCTTCTCACACTGGGCCCGCTGGCTTGGGCTGGGGAGTGGGGTGCAGGTGTTAGCACACTAGTGAGGACAGCTCAGCGTCCAGAAGTGGGGCATGGAACCCCTAAACCATCATTGGACAGAAAGTTCCAGGGGCCTCCCTGTCCCCTCTCTGTGCCCAGTTCCCCAAGCCCTCTGTCCCTGCCTCCTGGCTGTACCATCTCTAGCTGTAGGAGCTGGGAGCCAGGACCTGGGCAAACAGAAATGCCCCCTGTTGCCATTATATATGACAAGAAAAGCAGTCGCCAAAAAGTGACAGTCACATTGAGAGGAGAGTCAACCTGGGGTCGTGGCCTTGGGGAACTCGCCCTAGGTGAGCTTATCTTCCCAGGAGCCAGGCTCCAGGGCAGAGCTGTCTTGGGGGGAGGATGCTGTGATCTGGGCCCTCCCTGGGTTCCTGCACTTGCTAGGCTAGGGGGTGCCTCTTCCTGGGCAGCTGTTCCTCTCTGGAGTGCCAGCTGCCAGTGCTCTGCATCCTACAGAGAGCCTGACGGGGAGTGGCACTTGCCTTTCTCATCTCCATTTCTCTCTGGTCCCATGTGGCACACACTGAGGACTGGCACATCTTCCAAAAGCCATGTGGCCCCCTCCCAGCCCACAGCAGAAAGCCCAGACTCCTCAGCTCGGTCTAGCCTCCTCTCTGGCTACTGTCCTTGTCCACTGCTTGCCCTGGGCTGCTGGCCCTCCCCAGACCTGCCCCCCATGGCCAGAGTGGTTCACAGCTCCCAGGGCCACATGCAGGCTTCATCAGCTGCCTGCATGGGCCTGTGATGTAGGATGGTAGCTCTGCACCATTCAGCAGCGGTTGTTTGCCAGGAAGTGGCCTTGGCCTCTGGGCCCTGCAGTCCCCTGTTCTCACTGAGGTCCTGCAGGAGGTGTCTCTCGTCTGCATTTCCTCCTCACTTGCCTGTCTGCGGTGGAAATCCATGGACAGAGCCTGGCCACTCTGGGGAGGTGTGGAGGTCTCAGTGCATAACCTCAGGGGTGGTCAGAGGCTGAGGCTTCTCCAACCTAAATGCCCAGAACCTGAAGGGGGCAGGGGTGGAACTGGGCACACTAGACATGGCAGCTGCCCATCACTCACCCCATGATGTGTTGCACATAGGAGGGGTAGCGGAACTCCGTCCTGCTGGCGCCTTTCTTCTCCACATCCGCTCCTGTGGGCAGAGCCCAGACAGTCACCACCCAAGGTGGGACACCCAGGGCCACCCTAGATGGCAACTTAAACACAGGGCCCAGTGGGAGGCTAAGGAAGGACCCTTGAGGTCTTTTTTTCAAGTAAAAGAAAAGCAGAGGCATCTGTGGCTGGCATGCCACCATCTGTGTGGCTGGGCGCAGGGTGCATCTGCTTGCCGTGGATGCCGCATCAGCCTCCAGCACCAGAGCCTGCCACCTACAGGGAGGTGGACAGGGCTGGAGGGCTTCCCACTATGGACACTGTGCCTTTTGAATCTCAAACCCCATGAAAGAATTGCCCATTTTACAGAAGGAACTTTCCATCATGAAAAAGGAAAGCTGCAGTTTTGGAACTGGAACTTGTGCCCAAGTCTTGAACATGCTCTTCTTATGGGACTTTATGTTCCTAAAGCATGTGGAGAAACTGAGGCCCAGGGAGGCCAAGCTACCCAGGAGGGCCAGTGTCTAGAAGGCCTGGCAGAGGCACAGCAAAGCCTTGCTTGGGACTCGCTGGGCCACCAGTGGCTAAGTGAGGTGGGAGCCAGGGACGCTGGCCCGAGAGGCCAGGGTGGGGGCCCCTCCCTCTTTCTCCCTCCTACCTGCTCTCTGGGCCTCCAAGAGGAAGGCATTGCCATAGTCCCAGAAGAAGAAGTTCTCCTCCGCCAACCTGTTGATGGCTGAGACTTGCCTCCTCAGGCTGCAACAAGCCATGGGTCAGCACCACTAGTGCAAAGCTCTGGAGCCCCCTACATGTGGCACCCTCAGCCCCACCTACCATGCTCCCTGCAGACTGTTGCCTCAACGGCCCCTGATCCTTGGGTCAGCTCCACCTGCCTGGAATGCCCCCACCCCGGCATCTGTTTAGAACCTCTGCACCCTTCAAGACCCAGCAGGCAGCCCCTAAACAAACATTTTCTGGTCCCCAACCCCATCAGGCCCTGCAGAAAAACAGATGCTCCAGAGAGGGCCTCAGATCCCAGCATCTACTCAGTGCCATGCTGGACTGCACTGGGCATTCAGCAAATGTCACTCTAGCTTGTCCCCCTGCACTGCCAAGAGGTAGGTGTGTCATGACCTTGTCTGACAGGTGGAGGCAGAGGCTCAGATATGTTAAGGTCTTGCCCAAGGCTGCATAGCTGGTTGCTGGAGAACCAGGTGGCAGCCAGAGCAGGACAAGGCGGTCTGCCCAGGCCAAATGCTTCTGCTGCCCCCAACTCCGAGTAGCACCTTTCCTGGACCAGGTCCTTGAACACAGCAGGGTTGGAGGCCATGAGGCTCTGGGCCTCCGTGAAGCTGAGCTGCACAGGGTAGTAGCCGCCATTGAATGGGTTGTGGCAGGACGTCTGATCTGACCCCAGGTCCACCAAGCACTCCCCTGTCGTGTCCAATTCATAGACCAGGCGCTCCCTGGGGAAGCCATGGGGTGGTCAGTACAAGCCACGCAGTTTGGGCCCAAAGTCTGGGTCCAGCCAGGTGAGGATCAAAGCACATCTTCTTAACCACAAATCCAGCAGGCACAGCCCCAGCCAGACCCTGCTTTCCCTGTGGAAAGAGAACCTGTGGGAAGGCTGTGGACAGGGCAGGGACAGTTGCCCGGAGCCTGGGTAAGGGTGTGGCCACCAAGGGTGGCGCTGAACTGAGGCTCAAAGCTTTGTGTACCACAGCTCCTGGTTAGCACTGGGGTCTTTGCTCAGGTGGGCTCATCTGGGTTCCCAAGGTGGTTATTAACTCCCACCCCCCAACACTCACCAAAGAGCCACCACATTGCCATGGTAACCGAGGCTGAGCACCTCCTTTTTCTTCCGTGCTTCCCTGGAAGGACACAAGAGCAGAACTGGTGGCCCCCTGCACCTGTGCATAGGTGTCCCAGACACACCTGTACCCCAGCTGCACACAGGGCTGACCCAGTAGGCCACCAGAGGTATCGTGTGCAATCATGAGGCCCATGGGAGGGGCCATGGAGCATGCCTGCAGGACCCCAACTTAACTATAAAGGGAAAACCCAGACCCAAATACCCCAGACCAGAAAACTGGCATGGCAGCAGCAAAACTCTGCCTGGTCGATCCATGGAATTCAGGTTATTGATGTGGGACCTCCACAAGGATCTTTACAGAACCCATCCAAGGTGGTCCCAGAGTTGCAGAATTCACTAAAGATGATTCCCAAAATTATTTAGAAAAAAAGAAAAATCAAAGCACATTTTGGGGAACAGATTTGAACAGGCCTTGCAGGTAGTAGAGGTATCAAAAGGCAACAATATGTAGGGAAGGTGGTGTGGCCCCCCCGTGAGAGACCAGATTTACTGCTCCCTGGGCCTGGCCTGGAGAAGCCAGAGGAAGCCAGGTACCTCCTCTCCCCCAGGGGTGAAAGGTTGACAGCCCCAGGGCAGCAGGGAGGCCAGTCTAAACCAGGGCTTGTTGCAATCCCAGCTGAAGGACCTCAGAGCAGGGGGACTGTGAGCTCCTAGGAGCTCACTCCATTCCCATTGGTCCTCCCCAGCTCAGGGGCTATGGAAGTGTGGCAGACAGGTTGCTAGAAGCAATTCCTTAAAATGATTTTGATGTATGTGTATGTGTGTGTGTGTTCATGTGTGTATGTGTATGCATGTGTACATATATATGTATATGTGTGTATATGCATTTGTGTATGTATGTGTGTGAGAATATCTGTTGGCATGTACATGTGTGTTGTTTGTGTGTGTGTGTGTGTGTTTATGGCATGTGCATGTTTCTGTGTGTATATGGTGTTGAAGTGTGTTTATGTGTTTGTGCTTATGTGTGTTGTGTCTGTGTGCATGTATATGTGTGTGAATGTGTTATGTGCATGCATTTGTGTTGTGTTATGTGTGCTGTGTGTGTGTGCTTATGTGTTGTGTGTTTATGTGCTTGTATGCTTATGTATGTGTTATGTGTTCATGTTTGTATATATTATGTATTTATGTGTTTATGTGTGTATAAGTATGTGAATTGTGTTGTGTGTGCATGTTTGTTTATGCACATTTGTGTGTGCATGTATGTCTGTGTCTGTGTGTGCATGTGTGTGCTGTTTGCATGTGTGTACATGCATGTGTTGTGTGTCTGTGTGTTTGTGTTTATGTGTGGGTCATGTATGTGTTGTGGGCATGTACATGTGTGTTGTTTGTGTGTCTGTGTGTTTATGGCATGTGCATGTTTGTGTGTGTGTATGGTGTTGAAGTGTGTTTATGTGTTTGTGCTTATGTGTGCTGTGTCTGTGTTTGTGCATGTATATGTGTGTGAATGTGTGTTATGTGCATGCATTTGTGTTGTTATGTGTGCTGTGTATGTGTGTGTTTATGTGTTGTTAGGGTTTATGTGCATGCATTTGTGTTGTTATGTGTGCTGTGTATGTGTGTGTTTATGTGTTGTTAGTGTTTATGTGCTTTTATGTTTATGTATGTGTTTGTGTTCATGTTTGTATATGTTATGTATTTATGTGTGTATATGTATGTGAATTGTGTTGTGTGTGCATGTTTATGCACGTTTGTGTGTGCATGTGTGTATGTCTGTCTGTGTGTGCATGTGTGTGCTCTTTGCATGTGTGTACATGCATGTGTTGTGTGTCTGTGTTTGTGTGTGTCTGTGTGTGTTTATGTGTGGGTCATGTATTTGTGTGGCTGTGTCAGTATGTATATGTATGTGTTACATGTCTGAGTGTGTTTATGTGCATGCACGTGTGCAAGTGTGTATATGTGTGTGCTGTGTTCAAGCATGTGCACATGTGTTAGTATGTTGTGTCCTCTGTGTATGTATGTGCATGTGTGTTAAGTGTGTGTGTTAAGTGTGTATGTGTATTTATGTGTTTATGTATGTGTGGTTATATGTGTGTGCATGTGTCTGTGTGTCTGTACACGCACACACTCAGGATGCTAAACAGCCTGAATAGGGATGGGAGTTAGGTTGGGAAGCCCTTCACAGCACACCTGGAGTGTGGAGTTTCTTCTATCATTGATGAAAAGTTATCTGAGAGTTCTGAAGAGGGTGCAGTGTGGTTGGATTGGTATTTTAGAATGATCTAGGTCAAAATAATTTACTGCATTATTTCTCAAATTTTTTGTTTACATTTTCATCCGAAACAGCTTTTAAGCCCCTGTGGAGATTCTACTTGTAGACAGGTGGGGAACCACCGCACCGATGTGCCTTCCCCAAATAGGACTCCTCTCTGCACAGCAAATTGAGAAGATGCTTCAAAGGCAGCATCCAAGGAGAAGTCCCCAGGGCAGTCTTCACACCGTCCCACTGAAATACCGCTGGAGACATCACTGGGGCAAGTGGGGGAGGGGGAGGGCGAGAAGACTCCCACAAACTGCCACCCAGCCCCTCAGCTCCAGGGGGAAGCTCTGGCCTGGAGCACAGAGATGGAGCGCACGCCTCGCCGGGCTGCCTGTTGCCACTGCAACAGCTGGAGGCAGCCCCTACCAGGGGCCAGCTCTACCAGACCACACAGCAAGAAAAACACGACTCGCAGAACCAGGGCGGAGCGCGGGAGCCCCGAGAAGGCTGTCCAAAGCCCATCAGAGCCAAGGGTCTGAGCACCAAGCCTGCAGCCCAGCAGCCACCTCCACACCGGCAACAACAGAATACTGGAGGCCCTTCCAGAGGCTTCTGCCTTATCACCATCTGTGGGTCAGCCCTTGTGGGCTTGTGTGTGTGTGTGTGTGCATGTATGTGTGGACAGCTGTCAGGCATTGGACAGGCCCACACCAAGCTGCCCCCCAGGGGTCCTCTTGTGGTTTCCCACTGCCATGTGTCAGGTGTCTGGAGTACAGCTTGGAGCTGTACCTGAGCCTCTTGATGCATTGGTCCAAGCTGTCAGTCACTTCCATCAGCCAGCCCTGCTTGTGGCGTTTCTCAAGGGCTGCTTTATCCACCTGGGGTAGTGAGACATAGAGCCACCTGGTTACAAATCTTCCCTAAGTATATCATCCTCGACTATGAAGGCGCCACCCCCTGTACGTCCCTCGCTTTTCTATAACACAGTCTCAGGGCAGACACCACGAGCTGCCCTCCCACTATTTATTCCTTCTCCTGCCTCCCTTATCAGCAGAACCCAGGTGGGGTTCAGGGTGACACAGTTCAGCCCCAGGAGAAGATCTATCTCCAAGCAAATCACATAGACCTGTCCACAATCTCCATCCTCCCTTGTACATAAGAACATCAATTTCATCCAAGACTAAACAATGAGATAAAAGAAGGGAGTTTAAAGACATAACTTTCCTGATGAAATAGAGTTGTAGCACACACTTCCCTCTCATGTTCAAGAGGTCTTTTTGTCTTGAACATGGATGGGATGGCTGGGGAGGGGGCAGCAATTGTTTCTACAAGGGAGGCCCAAAGGAATCCAGAGATATTAGCATCATTGAACTGCAGACCAATGCCAGCACTGCTGGTTACATGAGAAAAATAAGATCCTACTGACACAAGCTGCTGCAGTAGGCTTCCTGTTACCTGCAGCTCAGTGTACTCCTAACAGTCACAGGTATGTACAGCGCAGGTTTGGCATCAACTGGGTGTAAATCCCACTGGCACATATCGCCAAGGCTTCCTCAAGGCTCCTTGCCTCTTCTACTTCCTACTTCCCTTCCTCGTCTTAGCACCCACCAAAGAAAGATGTCAGAGCCTATTACAGTTGGGGCATATTTGTCCCCCAAACCTCATGTTGACATTTGATCCCTAGTGTTGGAGGTGGGGCCTGATGGGGGGTGTTTGGGTCATGGGGGCTTGATGCAGTCCTTGCAGCAATGACTGAGTTCTTGCTCTGTTGGTTCCCATAGAAGCTGGTTGTTTAAAAGCTCCAGCAGCCCCCTCTCCTCTCCCCACTCTCCCTTTCTCACTGTGTGACCCACCAGCCCCCCTTCACATTCCACCAGGAGTGGAAGCTTCCTGAGGCCTCACTAGAAGCAGACACGGGTGCCATGCTTCCTGTACCACCTGTAGAACTGAGTCAAATAAACCTCTTTTCTTTATAAATTAGCCTCCGGTGTTCCTTTATAGAAACTCAAAGAACTAAGATGGGGTCACTGAGGAAAAGCTGCCTGCACTCTCTCTATGGAGGATGGCCTGTCTGTCTCCCCACCTGTTCAAGATGGGGAGTCTATGAGTTCATTTATTAACACAATTCATTCCCTCCCATCTGTATTTCAGGGATGTGGTGGGATACAGGAAAGCCATACCCACAAATAGTCACAGTTTTGTGGGAGAGCAGCCAACAGGCATTGCCCATGCAGGGTGATGGACACTTTGAAGGCAGGAAGCTTATGCGGCCATGGGATCCCACCCAGTGAGATCCAGTGAGGCTTTGCAGATGAGGCGAGGGCAGGCTGGGCAAGGGAGGATGAGAAGAGGGAGTCTGTGGTATGAGGGTTCCTGGAGAAAGGAGGGAGGGAGGGACACAGGCAGGAGCAAAGGCCAGGACCCCCCAGCTCACCTCTGCTATCACGCCAATGCACCCCACAATGACCGCGGCCTTGGCCTGAGCCCCACTCATTCCACCAAGCCCAGAGGTGACAAAGACCTTTCCAGCCAAATCCTCGATGTCCAGGTACCGACGTGCAGCATTCAACACAGTGAGCTGCAGGGAGAAAAGGTGGGGGCTCACTGCCCACTCCCAGCCTGTCCCTATGCTCAGACACCCATAGCCAGGCATGGCCCCATCTCTTACCACAGTGCCGTGGACGATTCCCTGGGGACCAATGTAGCAGTAGCTACCTGCTGTCATCTGGCCGTACCTGACCACAAGGAGAGAAGCCCAACCAAGGGCTCAGCCAGTGCCAGGCCCAGATCTTCCCAGACACTCCCTTTAGAAGGTTGAAAATTAGTATTTAACTATGCAAGAGGCATTAATATATTCTCCTTTACATAAAATAGAGAGAGAACACAACAAGGCTATGGACACCCTGGTCCCCCTTTTTTTTTTTTTTTTTTTTGAGACGAAGTTTTGCTCTTGTTACCCAGGCTGGAGAGCAATGGCACGATCTCGGCTCACCACAACCTCCACCTCCTGGGTTCAAGCAATTCTCCTGCCTCAGCCTCCCGAGTAGCTGGGACTATAGGCGCATACCACCATGCACAGCTAATTTTTTGTATTTTTAGTAGAGATGGGGTTTCACCTTTTTGATCAAGATGGCCTCGATCTCTTGACCTTGTGATCCACCCGCCTCGGCCTCCCAAAGTGCTGGGATTATAGGCCTCACCCTGGTCCCCTCTTGCCTCCCAGACAATTTACAAGCAGATTTTGTTTTGTTAAAAACTATAGTATAGGGCAGGGCATGGTGGCTTATGCCTATAATCCCAGCACTTTGGGTGGGTGGATCACGAGGTCAACAGATCGAGACCATCCTGGACAAGAGGGTGAAACCCCATCTCTACTAAACATACAAAAATTAGCCAGGCGTGGTGGCGGCACCTGTAATCCCAGCTAATCGGGAGGCTGAGGCAGGAGAATCACTTGAACTTGGGGGGTGGAGGTTGAAGTGAGCTGAGATCAAGCCACTGCACTCTGGCGTGGCGACAGAGCAAGACTCCATCTCAAAAAAAAAAAAAAAGTAGTGTAATTGGTGAAGAATTGCTTTGGGGAATATTTGGCTGCATGGACTCCTGCTGAACGTGTGCAGTACGCCCATGCCAATGCTTACACCAGGCAGAGACACACACAACAATGTTCGCCACAACTTTTGTGCAGGGGCCAAGACCTGAAGATGCTGAGATGCCCCTCCACTGGAGACAATAGAAATGAGTGGCAGCGTATGTGCCGCATAAAACACCTAATAGCAGAGAGGGACAGGGCCTTGCACTGCATCATGGAAGCAAGCCAGATTGAGAGGCAAGAGGGTTAAATAAATTAGTGCAATTGAACATCGCAGGTAAAGGAAGAGTACTTGAGATCTGCTTGAAATGCAACAATCTCCTAGCTGTCTTGTGAAGGTGGGAAAGGCAAGGCACAGAGGCCAGCTCAAATGGTTTAAACACCTAAATCACCAAGTCCTCATGCATAGAAAGTGTTCAGAAGGACACAGGAGACATTGTCAACTGGAGAATCTAGGATGCGAGAGAGATCTCCTTTTCATTTAGTTCCATTTATAATGCTTGATGAAACAGTGTGCATTGTTGGGTGCAGTGGCTCATGCCTGTAATCCCACCACTTTGGGAGGCCGAGGTGGGCAGATCACCTGAGGTCAGTAGTTTGAGACCAGCCTGGCCAACATGGTGAAACCCCATCTCTGCTAAAAATACAAAAAATTAGCCTGGCGTGGTGGCACACACCTGTAATCCCAACTACTTGGGAGGCTGAGGCAGGAGAATTGCTTGAACCTGGTAGGCGGAGGTTGCAGTGAGCCAAGATTGCACCATTGCACTCCAACTGGGCAACAAGAGCTAAACTCCATCTCAATTAAAAAAAAAAGAAAAAGAAAAAGAAAAAAAATAGTTTGCATTACGTTTATAACAAACGACAAGCTGTCACTTCCTGAGAAGGGGTGTGAGAGACCTCTCTGGGGCAAGGGCAGCGTTCCATGCCTAATGGGTTTTGGTTGCACAGATGCATACTTTGTCAGAACCGAAAATGTGGCGCACGTAAGATGTGTACATCTCATTATATGCGAGTTTCGCCTCAAAAAAAAAAACCTTTAAACAAATATTGAATTACAGTCAGCCATATTTGCAATGGACTTTGAGAAGCATCAAAAAAACAAGTTGAATGGATGGATAGGTAGAAGGACAGATAGCCACATGAGAAGGTGAGTATGGTAGGTAGCATATTCAATACAAAAATTTGGTGACATTCACTGTAAATTTGGTCAATTTTCTGTATGTTTGAGATTGTTCATAATTAAATGTTGGAAAAGGCAGCATCTAAAATTGTAGGTTCTCTTGCATTCAAGAATATAAAATTTATAAGCATATACATGAAACTACTAGGGAATATGTAAAAATAAAATTAATCATGCTACAGTTCTGTGATTGTGTTTTTCAAGACTTGTATTTAATATCACCATTTTGCTTTATAATGACCCATGGTTATTGGGGAAACACCACCTAAATAGACTGAAATAGTGACTTACATTGTAACCCCCAAGGCAAAGAGCTTCTCATACTCCATCCGGGAGGAGTAGTTGGGAATGACCTGGAGAAGAGGATGGGGCAGGGAGTGGGGCTGAGAGCTTGGAAAGGGAGCACAGATCCCCGGGGGTTGACGGACAGCGGCAGGGCACTGGGCTCTCCTCCTGGCGTCAGCACCCACTCTTTGGAGCCCCAGGCAGGAGCTGTGTCAGCTGCTGGGGACCCACCATCCCATTGGTGATGACGAGCCGTGGAGCACTGCGGCTGCTGGGGAAGAGGCCGAGCGGGTGCCCGCTGTACATGACCAAAGTCTGCTCCTCTGTCATCTTCGACAAGTAGGACATGGTCAGCCAGAACTTGGGGAAGAGCAGAGCATAGGGACTCTGTCAACGGAAGCAGCACCCCATGCCCAGCCCCACACCACTGTCCACGCCCAGAGAGCTCCCGCAGGCCCCAAGGTCTCCATTCCACTCCGGTGGCCCTGGTGCCACCCTCAGCACCACCTCACTCATTCCTGTAACCTGAAACTTCCCCACAGACTCTCCAATGCTGGAGCCTCAGGTGCCAGGGAGGCAGAGGCCTATGTCCTGAGCCACCGGTTGTAAGATCCTAGGCCAGAGCTCCAGACTAGGGGAAAGGCCAGGGTGGGGCGAGGCCACACAGTATGCAGTACCTGAGCCCAGTTGCTGAACACTTGCCCATTTCCTCCATAGGTCACCAGCTCCTGAGGAAACTGAGGAAGACATGGGGTCATCTGAGATGAGGGCCTGGGAAGAGCCTATGGAGTCACAAACAAGGAGAGAAAGGGCCCCCAACCCCTGGAAGCCCAGTGGGGCAAGAGGAGAAGCCAGACACATCTGCAAGAACATGGGCCCCAGCTGCCACTGGAGCAGGGGCTCACCTTGGGGTTAGGGGTGAATCTGGGTCTGGGGTCACTTGAGGAACTCAGCCTGGGTTCAAAGGCAGGGTTGATCTGTGACCAGAGTCTGGGGCCAGGGCCAGGGTTTAGGGCATTCCCACCTACTAGGTGAAGTGGTCACATTCTAGCAACATATTTCCCCCAAGGAATGCAGGAACACACCCAAGAGGCATTCCATTCCCAAATATGGGGAGCTGCTCTATAGACTGGCTCAGGGTACCCATGACAGGCACATGTGGCTTTTCAGCTCTGCTTCCTGCATAGATACACCCCGGTATAGAAGACTCAGTATGAAAAAAATGTAAAATATTAATGTAACGTAAAATAAAAGTAAAACGTAAAATAAACTTTAATAATGTTTACATTGATTACATGTTAAAATAATAATATTTTGGAGCCAGGCGTGGTGGCGGGTGCTTGTAGTCCCAGCTACCGGGGAGGCTGAAGTAGGTGGATCGCTTGAGACCAGGAGGTTGAGGCTGCAGTGAGCCAAGATCAAGCCACTGCACCCCAGAATGGGTAACAGAGACCCTGTCTCTAAAAACAAAAAAGTAAAAACATAGATTTTGGATATATCAGGATGAATAACATACGGTGTAAATCTGTTTATTTTTACTTTCTCATGTGGCTGTTAGAACATTTAAAATAACACGTGTCCACTGCAGCCACGGTGACGTCCTGGTTTTGAGGCTGCACTACAGCCACTGGGAGAAGCTGAGGGAAGGACCAGGGACCTCTCTTACTAGCTTCGCAACTTCCTTTGAGTCTATAATTATCCCAAAATTAAAAGCTTGAAAGAATGACACGTGTGTCTCGCATTCTGTTTCTGCTGGGCAGTACTGGGACTCAGTTTCCCTGGCTATTACCTGGGCTACGGCAGGGTCCAGGTTGTTCATGATCATGTGCATGATGGCGGCAGCCGCTTTTGTCCGGCAGGGGTACTGCTCAACTGGGTAGGCCCTGCAAGGCAAAGCCCAACTGCCAGGCTGCCCTTCCTGCCAAAGTGCAGTGTCCAGCCCCGCCCCACCCAGCCCCTGGCCGAACAGGCCGGGACAGCCAGACCCAGGGTCTGCAGGAGCATACAGTGGGGGCTCCAGCGCCACTAAGGCCAACCCTGTGGTGCTCAGTTAGCTGGAGTTCTTACACTTCCAGGGAGGGGGCATTCCGGCCCCACCCCAGCTGCCCTCCCTCCCAACTTCACATGGTCTACCCAGGAGACAGCTGCTGGCAAAGCAGAACTGACAGCTGCTCTCCAGAAGCCTCTTTCTCTGGGTAAGCTGAGTTTATTCACTTGTTTCTTCATTCATTCAACAAGCACTTTTGGGTACCAATTCTCCAGCAGGTGCCAGGACCAGAGGTACTGGCTGGAGTGAGGAACTTGGCTCCTACTTTAAAGGGAACAGCATTCCCTGGGATGACTCAAGGCAAGCCTGGGCTGCTGGCACCTTCGGGAACAATCAAGTGCAGAAATGCAGGCTCAAAGCCCCACTCCAGAACTGCTGGGTCTGAAACTGGGGTGAGGCCTGGCAGCCCATGTTCCCACAAGGCCTCCAGGGCTGCTGTGCACACTGTAGCTTGAGAGCCTCATCGAGATCGTGGGGTATGTGAAGTCACTGCCAGAGCTCCCTAAAGCTCTCCCTGCCCTCTGGCAGAACGACAAGCCCTGGCTTTTGAAAGGGGTTTTGTATACAATTTGGCTCCAGAATTGCACAGGACTGGCTGCACAGGACCCATGGGCCGGGTCTGAGAGACCTGAGAAGCTGCCCCTGTCTTCTGGCCAGGCTCAGGGGCTGCAGCAAGCGCTTGGCTCCAGCTCCCAAGGTGATGGCACAGAATCTTCTCTCCCCTGCCTCCTAGTCTGGACAGATTGGGTTTCCCCCTCACTACTGACTCCCCCATGTCCCTGGCAGGAGCTGCCTGCCCCTCTGGGTCCCTTTGAAGCTGTGCCCACAAGGCTGACCTCATTTCAATGTCAGGGCAAAACCGGTACATGTAGATGTGCCCATACTGTTGCAGCTCCTGGGCAAACTCTGGGGCCAGCACATTCTGGACATCAGGGGGGAAGTAGCGCAGGGCGTTCCTCAGTGCCAGCTGTGGGAGGAGAGCGAAGAGAAGATGGCGGCTGGGGTTCCAGGCTCGGCGTTCTGATGCCCCATAATGGGCCATCCTCCTCCCACATGGATTTGCCTCTGCTCCACTCAGAAGCCTGTTGCCCACCCAGAGACTGCCTGGTTCTCACCCCAGGCCCATCTACAGTGTCACCTCCTGCAGAAAGCCTTCCCTGATTGCCCCCTCCTGCCTCTTTCATGAAGGCAGACTGATCCCTCTCTCTTCTTGCTTAGGGTGAACCATCTGTTCTGGGGATGGCACTGCTTCCCCCCAGGGAGGGACCAGAGAGGGGCCTGCCTGAGGCTTGTGGCTATGGTGCAGGATGCAGAGGCTCCAACGGGGAGAGTAGACCCAACAAAGCCTTAAGTACCCTGTGCAGGTACATACAAGAAAAAGCTGTCAAAAACAACATGTATTTACACACACATGAACTCTTGATCATGAGTCACAGGAAGCAATTGCTATGGCTGCCCAGATATACGCATCCCTATTCCATGGAACAAGACTCTCCTATGTGGGTTCTAATATATCCATCCTGTCTAGCTCCTTTCATTTCACTTTCAAATCTATACTGCTTGCATCCCCTAAACTGATTTCACAGCCTGCTGGTAGGCGGTAGCTGCCGTCTGAGAGCACTGTCCTCACTGTTGTAAAGGCAGTACCAGCCACAGCCCTGGGACTTGATGGGACGTTTTACTAATGTGCTACACAAGGAGGACCTCTCATAATCAGTTGTGTCAACTGCATTAGAAATATTGTTCAGGTAATTACACAGCTCAAAAAGTACAACACAGGTTCTGTGAAAATGAGTGCATTTAAAATGGTGTCAGTTCACGGAAGTAACTCAGCCATTCTTAAAAGTGAAATGTGTAAGAAGCTCGATCTGTTCTGAAATGAAGCACAAACTTGTGCCGTCAACAAAGAACATTCTGGCAATTTTCTCAAAGCCTAAATACAGCCCCAAAGCTCTGTCTGCCACATTTTCCTCTTGTATAAAATTTCCATTTGCTGAAGATTGAATTTTTCTTTATTGCTGAAATTCAGTAATTTAGCCTAGATATGTCTTAATGTCGATTATGTTACATCAAGGGTTTTTTTTCTTTCCAGGATAAACTATATCTTTTTATCTGCAATTTTGTGGTTTTACTTAGTTCATGACAGTTGTCACGTATTTTGGCTTAATACTTCATCCTCTGTGTCTAAAGTCACCTAACAGTCCTGCAATACATATTCTTTAGGTGGGGAAGGAAGGCTCACTGTCTCTGGCCTGGATTTAATCCTCCACACCTGACTAGGGGCAGCTGTCAGCACTAAAACAAGACGATGGGGCTCACCCATGACCTGCCCAAGGCCCTGCAACAGGCCTGTGGATGGCCTGGAGGGTGGCCCAGTGCCTCCACCTACCCTGGCAACTTCAGCAGAGGAGGAGTGTCAGGCTAAGCAGGGCCCACTGTTCCTAGGAAGGGCTGCATGGTGTGATGAAGCCCACTGCTTCCCGATGACCATGGAACAGTGGGCAATGCTGCACTGACTGCATGCCGCTCCCTCCAGAAACAGCACGGCCCTGCCAGAATTTTTATATGTTTATGCTATGAAAAATATAAGGCCGGGCGTGGTGGCTCCTGCCTGTAATCCCAGCACTTTGGGAGACCAAGGTAGGAGGATCAGTTGAGGCCAGGAGTTCCAGACCAGCTTGGGCAACATCGAGAAACCCCCATCTCTACAAAAAATTTAAAAATAGCCAGGCATGGTGCATATGCCTGTGGTCCCAGCTACTCAAGAGGCTGAGGTAGGAGGATGGCTTGAGCCCAGGCATTTGAGGTTACAGTGACCTTTGATCACGCTGCTGCACTCCAGCCTGGACAAAGCTAGACTCTGTCTCTAAAGTGTTTAAATTCACAGACACACACACACACACACATACACACACACATACACACACATAAATGAACTGTTGAAACATGTAAAGGTAAACCAGGTTAATCTGATATGTAACATTTGTGCCAAGAAATGAGGTTTACAAGACACACTAAGAAAGCAAAGAAAAGCAATGATTTAATATCACTGCATTTTCGTTGTTTCTTGATTGCAGCCCGGTGAAACCTGCTTCGGATTTCTGACCTCTGGAACTGCAGAAGAATAAATATGTGTTGTTTTAAGCCACTGCACTTGTGGCGATTTATTACAGTAGATGTGGGAAGCTAATACAGGCAGTAACGGAACCCTGCCTCGGGCATCAGGGCACCTGTGCCAGGCACATGCCTGTCCTGCATGGTGGCTGAGCACCAAAATGAAAGGACGCCAGCCTTTGACGTTGTTCAGCCCGCAGAGCAGGGTGTGTGTGCGTGCGTGTTCAGCCTAGGACTTACTTTCATTCTAACCTGGCAGTCAGCTTGTGGGGCAGTAAACGTTGCCCACCTGAAAGTTTCTGACTGTCACTATTTCTGCCAGAAATCATGGCCATTATCCAAATGGCTTGGCTTTGTTTGAGTCACCCCTCTTCCTGCACCCCTCTAGCTCAGCCTTCATCAGGGTCCTCACCAGCTCTAGGCCGAGGCTGCGTTGAGAGCCAGGGGCTGCAGCCAGACTTCCAGAGTGCAGGCAGCACTCTGGCTTTCACAGGCTGCAGTGGCTTTTAGGATGCTGTGGCACGGGCCTGCCACATGGCGCACACATACTTCCCCTCTCTGACTGCCCCTTCCCCATCTGTAAAGTGGGCATAATAACAGTACCCACCTCGGAGGACTTCCCTGGGGACTCAATGTGTTGAGGTACTTAGAATAGCCCCAGGCACACATAAGTACATAAGAGTGCCCAGCTGTCAAAGCTGTTATCTCCCACACTTGTGGGCCTCCATGCTGCCCCTCCTTTCTTCCAGCCAGACCTCTGCCCACCCCACCCCTCTGGAACCTCCACAGAAGCCTTTATGCTCTGGGGTGGGGGTGTTGTTAAGCAGCAGGGACACCCCTATTTAGAAACCTTCATGGGCTCCCTATTGCCCATCTGCTAAGGCCATACTGCTCCCAGCATTCAGGGTCCTCCATCAGCCAGCTGGGTCTGGCTCTCCAAGCTCAACACCAAGCCCCGGTCTGCACAGAACCTCCTCCATCCTGACACACCTCAGACAGACCCGTCTTCACATCTGTGCACACTGCCTCCCCTTGTCTCCAAACTCTTGGGCCTTTCTTCTTTCCCAGGCTAAGAACCCTGCCCAAGCTGCCATAGCCACCTCTTCCAAGAAGTCCTCTCAGATTCCTCCTGAGGCTGAAATATTATGGGATCTTAGTCAGGGCTCTTAGTTCGACTCTTATTCATTCAGCAAACATCTACTGCTATCACTGGAGATCCCAAAATGAACCTGGTAGAGACCCTGAAATGAACCCCTGCCCTCAAGAAGTTCAGGAGAGAAGGACTTCGGTAGTGACAGGGACACAGATGTGTGGCCATCTAAAGATCTGCTGTCGGATGCCCAGCACTGGCACTTGGGTGGGGTGGATTTGGGAAAAAGGTCACTAGGAAAAACTGTGCATGGGGGAGGTACTGAAGACATTTCTAACAGGGGAACTGATCCTGTCATGTGACTGAAGTTTCCCTGTGCATGGTGAGAGCTGTGTCAGGCACATGCTGAGAGTGTCCTGTTTAACTTGGCAAAGGAAGGCCCCTCTCCAGTCACAGAGAGAGCTCCGTTAAACACCAGCAAAGAATGATGTGCACATTAGTTCATCCAAATAACGAAACACTACACAGCCATTTGAAGACAGCGCCCTCTAAAGGCACCAAGAAGGAACAATCTAGAAAAAAACGAACGTGTATAGGCGCTTCCCCATGTATTTTTAAGAAGGATCACAGAAGTCTTGGGCACCCCACAGATGCACAGAGTGTGTTTCTGAAACTCTTGAGCAGTTTTCAGTAAAGAAACAGTGGGAGGAAAGTCTATATAACCGTGTGGCCTACTTTATTTCATTCGGGCTTCCCCACAACCGCCTGCTGTCATAAGTTTCATCTTCAGCTTACAAATGCCAAAAAAAAAAAAGCCATGGCAACTCTGGAAGGTGAACTTGGGAAGTTACACCTCTAGACATTTGACTTCTTATCTCAAAAATTATTTTCAAATACTCAAGTTAAAGATCAATAAAACACATTTAAATAAGAAATAGAAAGCAAGTGGCAGGACTCAGGGAGCTGCCCATAAAGGAAGGAGAGGCAGCTCTGCACCCACTCCTGCTCCAGCTCCAGGATGCCCTGGCCTTCAAGCAAAGGGGGACACACCTCAGCAAAACCCAGGTGGCCGCACCTCCACCTGGAGGTGCCTTCTCCTTCCAGCACAAGACACCCCGGGAGCTGAACACAGCCACGGTGCATCACAGGAGATGTGCAGGTGGCAGGGCCCTGGGGTGAAGGTCCAGGCACCGGTGCCCAGCAGAGAGGTGACCAAGGGGGAAGAAACATTAACACCACCTAGACAAACATGGAGATGGGCCAAGGGGAGGGGCAAAAGAACTGGACCACCTGCTTGCAATCTGCCCCCAAGTACCTGAAACCTACCCGCCCCCTCTCCAGCACTCACCACTTAACCGTCCCCCCAGTGCCTACCACTACCCTCCCCCGTCCCCACCACCCACCACCCACCACCCACTCTCCCCCACCCCCTAATGACCACCATCTACCCTACTCCCACCCCCCAACACCCACCACCTACCCTCCCATGCCCCCAGTGCCCAACACCTACCCTCTCCCCCAATGCCCACCATCTACCCTCTACACCTACCCTCCCCCACCCCCAATGCCCATCTACCCTCCCCCCACCCCAATGCCCACCACCTACCCTCTCCCACCCTCCAGCACCCAACACCTATCCTCCCCCATCCCCCCAGTGCCCACCACCCACCCTCCCTCCACTCCCAACACCCGACACCTACCCTCTCCACCTCCAATGCTCACCACCTACCCTCCCCATCCCCCAGTGCCTGCGACCTACACTCCTCCTGCCCCCCAGCACCTAGCACCTACCCACCCCCACATCATCCCAGCACCCACCACCTACTTTCCCTCCACGCTTCAGCCCCCACCACCTCCCCTCCCCTTGTTTCCCAGCACTCATCACCTACCCTACTATCCTGCTGGCTTCTCTTCCATTTCCTTTTCCCTCCAACACCAGCTCCACCTGCCCCCAGCGCCCTATGCCCACAAGGACCCCGAGCATACCCCTAGCCCTTCAATTCCCCTCCACCCCACTCCCACCAACCCGCTTCCCCCTTCCCCAGCACCGGCTCCACCCTGAGGGACCCCCACTGTCCCCACTGCATCCTGTTAGGCCTCTGTGGGTGGCTTGGGAAAGGCCAGGGGCTCCGGTGCACAGGGCAGCCATCTTTATCTGGGAGGTAGGATTCCTCTATTAATCTTTGTGCTTGTGTGCAGTTTCTACTTCTCTAGTGTTTCTGAAATTCTTGAGTAGTTTCCAGTACAGAAAAAGTAGGAGGAAAGTCTATATAACCGAGTCAGCCACTTTATGTCATTTACTCTCTCCATGACCCCTGGTGTCACCATTTTCATCTCAAGCTTACAAATGACAAAAGGCAGGTTCCCAGACTGGGCACCGCCAGCAAGTGTGCACCATCCCTGGCCTGCTTGGCCATTAGGTGAGGGGATGCTGGCCTCAGCCCCAGCACCTTGCCCCAGCACCCGCCTGCCGGACACAGGATTCAGCCACACAGCTGAAAGTTCTCCAGAGGTGTGGGGGAGGAACATTTTCAAATGAAAACAAAAGCTGACCTTTGTGCAAATGTTCTGCATGTTGGGGTGGACCTGGTGCCGGGTGTAACACTTCACAGCCGCCCAGGGCCTCCTCCCACTGGAGGTGACCACAGTGCCACCATTGACCGGCAGCTGACCTTGAGCCTCAGGGTCCTCATCTGTAAACAGGCATGGCGATCCTGCACCCAAGGGTGGCTGCACGCAAGAGACAGAGTCCGCCACCCATTGCACGCCACCGGCTGGAGTCCCTGGAGGCCAGGGTAGATGGCTGAGGAGCTCCCACTGAGAGGGCAGGAAGCCGGGGTGCTCGCCATGGATCACCTGGCGGACGTCTAGAGGCCAAGGCCTCAGGAGCATGGGCCCACTGCTTACCTGCTTCTCTGCAGGGCTGAGGCCAGGGGTCCTGACTGGGGCATGGGGCACCCCAGCCTGGCGTCCTCGGTTCTTTGGGAGGGGCCGAATGGGCAGGCCAGAGCACAGAGCCTGGAGGCTAGACATGTGTGGCTGAGATGGAGGTGAAGGCCAGCACTGTGGGGAGGCCAGGAAGAGACTGGGCAGATAGGGCCCAGTGGGGGGGACCTCCAGCCCCAGGGCCACTCCTCCAGCCCCTCATTGGGTGCCGAGCCTGTGCAGGGAGCCATGTGCAGGTCCGAGGGTCACTGGCCTCAGGCAGGCTTCCTGCAGTGCTGACCAGGGGAGAGCAGTACTCTGCAGAAGGCAGGCTTCACGCTGGGGAGCAGGGCTGGGCCCCTTTCCCCTTCCAGGAGGGCTGTGCTGTCTGAGGAGTTTTAGGGGTGGGTGGGGCTCTAATGCTGAGGTGTGCTATGGCAGCCTCGGGGGCACCACACCAACCAAACACTCCATGTGGGGATCTGCATCTTGACGATGGGGAGATGGGGAGCCATGTGGTACCGAGCTGGGCACAGACTGCAGATACCCTCTCCTCCTGCTACCCCCCGCTGGGGGCTGGGTGACAGGAACAGTGTGCTCCCAGCAGTAGCTGAGGAGGGCACACCGCTCCACCCCCCTCCCAAAGCTCTTTTCAAAGGACTTGCCTGAGGGATGACCCTCATCCCCAAATATGTTAACAACTCTGCCAGAAAGCGTTCTTCATGAGTCCTATACTACTGATGGGGAAACTGAGGCCCAGGTCTCACTCACACAGCCAAGAAGTGGCAGCAACTGAATTCTAGCAGTCCCAGGGCGGTGACCCACCTGGGTGTACCCAGCTCAGAGCCTGACCAGCCCTGTCCCTTCGGCCATGTCCTGTCTGCATAAGTGGGTGGCGCTGGGCCACTCAGCAGTAAGGGGGCAGAGCACGGTTAGGGAAGCCCCGTACAGGGCCCTCGTGTGGAAGCCCAGCTGCCACTGAGCACTCCCTCCTCCGAGAGCATCCTGTGAGTCAGCTCTAAGGGGTTCGTTGCCCCATTTTATGGATGAGGAAACAGGTGGAGAGGGGCATGGGACTTGCCCAAGGTTACACAGCCATTCACGAGAAGAGCTTGGATTGGAGCCCTTAGGACCCAGAGGTCTGGCTCTAGCACCCTCCCATCCACGCTGGTCCTTTTGTGGCACAGGGAGGGCACCCTTAATGGGGGCGATGTGAGATTGTGGTAGAATAAGAAACGGGTTTTGGTCTCTTCCCTGTTCCTGACACAAAGATCCTAGGGCCCTGGTAGATAGAAACTCTAGGAGAATCTTTTGTTTTTACTTTTGGTCTTTGAACTCTGGTTCCCGACATAGAGCTCCTAAATCTGTTGGAATTTCCCAGGTGACAGGAGCCGAGCTCTTTTGTTCTGAGAGGACTCTTGGCAGATCCCTGATATCCTCGGGATGGGGGCTGGTTGGCACCCTCCTGACTTTGGGGAGGAGAGAGAAGCTGAAGGTTGAGTTAATCACCAAAGGCCAATGATTTAGTCAATTGTGTACGTCATGAAGCCTCCACAAAAACCCAAAAGGACAGGTTCAGAAGAGCTTCCCCGGGCACAGGCAGCTTCCTGGAGAAGGGCACACCCAGAGAAGGCATGGAAGCTCTGTGCCCCCTCCCCACACCTCACCCAGGGATTCTCCTCCATCTGGCTGTTCATCTGTATTCTTTGTACTGTCCTTTGTAAGAAGCCAGTACACATCAACAATAAAGTGTTTCCCTGAGTTTTCTGACCCACACTAGCGAGATATAAGAACCCTGAAAAGCTCAGTTTATAGCCAGTTGGTCTGAAGCACAGACCATAACCTGTGCTTGCAGCATCTGAAGTGGGGGCGGTCTTGTGGGACTGAGCCCCCAACCTGTGGAATCTCATGCTGTCCCCGGCAGGTGGTGTCAGAGTTGAGCTGACTGGGACACCCAGCTAGAGAGGACACCCAGCTGAAGAGCTGGCTGCTGGAAAAAGCCCACATGCACTTGGCGACTGGGGCTCATCGTGCTGTGTGAATGAAGGAGGAAAAGGTTTGTTCTCACACTGGGCCTGCTGCATCTCTGCTCCTCACCAGCCTGGGCCACCTGCAGCAGACATGCAGAAAGGTGCCCAGGCTAAAGCATCCCACATTCAATCCTTCTCATGCCAGGCGCCATTGCAGGCCCTAGGAACCGAGTACAGAAGACAGAAGAAGTTGCGTGACCTGGATGCCAGCAGCCAGCACCTTCAGCTGTCTTCTCAAGGGTGTCTTCTGGTGACCCTGAGTCTACTCTTCCCACTCAGAGGGCAGCTGGAAGGGCTGGAGAATTAGCAGCCCCTCCCCACCTGCCCAAGGAGCAGCCCCTAAGAACCCCAGGTCCCCTTCCCCTCAGGGTGTGGAGACTGCACCTCGGTCAGCTGCTTCCCCTCCCCAGCTCACCTTGTAGCCCCAATGGACAGACCCTCAACAAACTGCACCGAGACCTAGTCTCAGGGTGTGCTGCACAGGAGGTCTCTCATCTCACGGCTCAAGAGCAGCCAGAAATCCAACAGGTTTTCTGAAATCTCCCGAGTTTTAAATGTCTGCAACCAATTTGTGAAAAGGTGAATGCTGTAAAGAAGTCAGGTGGATGGCCCCATGCCTCATCCCAACTGGGCTAACTGCACTGTGGCTCTGCAAGATCCTAGCACTGGGGGAAAGTGGGCAAAGGGGACACAGGATCTCTCCTCCTTATAACTGCACACAAACCTAGTGACCCCAAATAGTTTAATTAAAAACAAACAAACATTGGCAAACTATTTAAAAGCATATAGATCTTGGCTGGGCGCAGTGGCTCATGACTGTAATCCTAGCACTTTGGGAGGTCGAGGTGGGTGGATCACCTGTGGTCAGGAGTCTGAGACCAGTCTGCCCAACATGGGGAAACCGCACACTGAAAACAGATGTTGGAAATAGATGCTCAGTCTCGCAAAGAAAAAGTCAGCACTGAGACAAAGGATCTTTCAGCAACGAAAGTTTTACTTCCTGGACTGCAGGAAGGAAGGGTACCCTCACTAGCCATTGTGCCACGAGAGTATAACAAACAAAGGAAAACACACAAATTTATTCCTTATGCATCTGGGGTCATCCTTACTGCTGTGTCTAATCTCTGTTGGCTGGAGCCAGACCTCACAATCTAAACTAAAACCCAGCTGGCAAACAACTTAAAACTTTTCTAAACAGGTAAAAGCAATGGAGAGCTGGGACATGCCTGTGAGCACGTCCAGCATAGACATCTTGGTTAAAGTACAAGGACGTAGACTGTACTACATGCCTGTAAGTGTAGTGTGTTTAACAGCTACATAGAATAGGGCTTTACAAAGTTATTAGCACACTTATTATTTAACAAGATAGGAAACTTTAAAATGAATTTTTCTACTTCCTATACCCTGTCTCTACTAAAAATACAAAATTAGCTGGGCATGGTGGTGGGTGCCTGTAATCCCAATTTGGGGGGGGGGGCTGAGGCAGGAGAATCGCTTGAACCCAGGAGGCGGAGGTTGCAGTGAGCTGAGACAAAGCCATTTCACTCCAGCCTGCGCGAAAGAGCGAGACTCGCTATCCCCCCAAAAATATTAATAATAATGAAGATCTCACAGAACTTAAAAATGGCATCCTGCTAAGTTCAAACAATCCTGGCTACACCACTCTCTAGCTGTGTCCTTGGGTAAGTTACTGAGCTCTCGGTGCCTCAGTTTCCTCACCTGTAAAATGAAAGTCTATTATGTACTTCACAAAATGCATCTGAGGATCACATGAAATAACATGCACAAAAGGCTTAGAATAGCACTTCACACAGAACACGAACCAGACAAGATGAGGAATTCTTTTTCTAATGGTTTCCTCCATGAAAAAGAAAAGCATCATCTCTCCCAGAGACAGCTCTTCTCCTCTCCTGGTCCCCACCTCTTCCCTGCCTTCCACAGAGCAGTGGAGGTGGCATCTGTGATTCAGCAGTTCTTCATGGACGGCTTCCCTCTGTGCTTAGAAAAACCCACCCTTGGGATCTGGACTCCCTGTCTGCATGTCTGACTTCACCCATCCACTCTTGCCCACTCCAGAGCCTCCCTGCTGCTCCTGGGACAAGCCATGGTGGTTCTAATACATGCCAGCAAATTCCTGGGCACTGCTGGTAGGCGCAGCCCACTCCTGAGTCTGGTCCAGCCTCAATGATTTTCATGTAAAAGGCAGCCCCAGGCCAGGTGAGAAAATGGCCTCACAGCCAGGCTCTATGGGAACAGTCCAAGCACATGGGGCCCCAGGCCGAAGCGTACCCTAGGAGGTCCCCAGGCTGGAGGGTGCCCCAGGAGACTTACAGGATGAAGGGTGCCCTGAGGGGATCCTCAGATCACTGCCCAGCAGAGCTCCCCGACGGACACCACCGGCCAATGTGAGTCAGCAGGACACTGGACCTGGGTGAGCCTCCCAGTGATACAGTGCCAGCCGCCATCTGCCTGAGGCAGCCTGAGACTCCCACGAGAAGCACTCAGCCAAGCCCATTCCCCCATTCCTGATCCACAAAATTATAAGCAAAATTTAAATGGTTGCCTTAAGCCACTAAATTTTAGAGCAGTTTGTTACCTAGCGACAGCAACTGGAACATCCCCTTAGGGCCTTTGCAATGGCACCTGCCAGCTTCCGCTCCCTGGAGTCACATCTTTGCTCCAATGCTACCTCCCAGAGGCGTGCCCCAGTGACCTCCTTCCACCAGACACACTTCCCATCCTGGTACCTGCTATGTTTTCTTCACAGCAGCATTCACCACGCCATCTCTTTCTCCAAATTTTCCGTGCTTCCCATCTGTAATGGAAATGCTGTGAGGGCAGACACTGCATGGGTCTTGCCCTTTCACTGGAGCCTCAGCACTGAGTGGGTGTCCTATATCTCTCGAATGAATGACTGAATGACTGACTGAATAAATGTGAGTCCCTGGGTGAGGGCATCTTCGCAGGGAAGCTCCTGAGGCCCCAGGTGTCTAGCCAGGATCTGCATCCTCCCACCCCAAGACCCAAGACCATCTCTCTACTTGTCTCCAGGGTCCCTATCTCCAGGGACATCTCCGGATAAAGGGCTGAGATGTTATTCCCAACTTTGGCCACCAGGTGACAGCACATAAGGCGCGCTGAGGATTCCAGGGCTGGCACTGGGGTCAGGGAATGCGGGTCCGGGGAAATTTGGAAGGCACCTTTGGATGCGAGTTAGGGCTGGCAGGGAATGCGGATGACCTGGAATCCCTGGGTCCTAGACCAGTCTAGGGGTGGGCTAGAGGTTCCCCAAGGCCAGGAAAGTCATGATAAGAAGCTTCTGGTTTACTGTGAGGGGGGACTCCCACGCCTCTGTCCTTGAGAACATCAACACCATTAAAAGCTGTATCACAAAACCAGCAGAACTATTATTTCCTTAATGTTCTTCCTTAAATAGATCCACAACTTAAATAAATGTAATAGGAAGCAATTTTTATTTCACCACTGTAACCAGTCACTCGCCAGACACAGGCAGTAACCATAAATTAATTACTAATATCAAATACTTACATGGCACTCACTGAGTGCCAGGCACCGCTGCAAACATTTCCCATATCTCATTTAATCTTCACAATATGGAGGTTTAGGATTATTCCCCTGTACAGGGAAATGGGGCACAGAGAGGTGCAGTGACTTTCCTAATCTCCCACAGCAGTAAGTGGGACCAGGTGGATTTGGAATCACCAGATTTTTCAAGAGCAGTTTAGTAACCAGAGCCTAGAGTGTGGAATAATAGGCATTGGAGACTTGGAAGGGTAGGAGAGTGGGCGGGGTGGGAGGGATGAGGAATTAACAGGTACAATGACATTATTTAGGTGACAGTTACACTGAAAGTCCAGACCTCACCACTACATATTATATCCACGTAACAAAACTACACTTGTGTTCCTTAAATTTATACAAAAATCTCCAGAAAACCCTGGAGTTTAACACAGTAGCCTATCCCACGGACTCACACTGCTAAATGTTGGCTCCAATGAACTCATCAGCGCACATGCTGCCAGGTGCACTCTCCGGTTCCCTGCTAGCCTGACTTCTGCACAGCAAGACCCTTCGGGTCGGGCGTGGGCTCCCACCCACTGGGCTAGCTGGATGTATGCATCTTTCAAAGTCTGGACTTTACTCTCACCTCGCCCCTCCACCCCCCAAAACAGACACACAAACGCACACACACAAAGTCCCTGGCAAGTCCTCAGTGCTCATGTGGTGCCCAGAGCAGTTGTGGGTGACACGATGAGGTACAACAAGCTCTATGCCTGGGAAACGTAAGCTGAGAGCCTACCTCTCTGTCCAGAGTCTAGCCCGACTTGCATGAGCTAGATTCAGGCAGGACCTGGAGACCCCGGAGGAAAGCAAGGCTGCAGGGTAGCCTTGGGTGGAGGAGAAAGGGACAGTCTTAGGCCTGCTACTGAGGGCCGGGTCTCGGAGAGCCATGGACAGCAGGACACTCTCCTAGGATCCTTGGCTCATCCCAGATCAGCCCTTGGGCCCCTGGCATCTAAGGCAGCAAAAAGGCAAGGGGACACCGGGGACCATGCCACAGCGACAATGCCTCTTGGCCTTGGGTGGATGACGACATCCCTAGGGAAACCCTAGGGGCGGGGCCTCGCGGCGAGGGGCTTCCCCAAATCAGTCTCCACCCTCCAGCCCGGGACTTCGGCCCCAAAGGGGTGAGGGTGGGGCACGAAAAAAGGACCGGGCCTGCTGCCTCACTGTGGCCCGCCTCCTCAATCCCCAGGGAGTCGCAGGGGCTCGTAGGGGGCTGGGGTCCCGCCATCGTGTTCCCCTGGCCTGTGCGGTGCTTCTTGGTAGGCGCTGCGCTGCCGGGGCCCGGCGGGCTGGGGGCGGGTCCCTGGCTCTGGCACAGTCACCCCCAGCCGGACGCAGCGGACTGTCACTGTCCTCTGCCGCGCGCCAGGCACAGCATGGGGAGGCGCTGCTGGCGGCGGCGCGGGCTGGTGACCGCCTGTCTGGGCACCGCGCTCCTTCTGCTCCTGTGCGCCGCTCCTCGTGCCCTGGGCCCAGGTGAGTGCTTGCCGGCCCCGCCGCGCTCCCACAACCAAACCCGGCTCCTTGCGCTTCCCAACCCGGCTTGATCCCTCGACGGGGCAGCGGGAACACCTGCCATCTCCTTCCTAGCTGGGGACAGAGGTGGTGGGCAGGGGCGCTGGTGGGGCGCAGAAAGACGCCTCCCGTGGCCAAAGGCTCCTGCTCCTCCTCCGGAGTGATTTCCGCACTCCAGGAGCGGTGACTATTTGGGTCCCACAGCCGGTGCCTGGAGACCGGGGTCAGTTGTGGGGGGTGGAGGGCATTTGGCCAATCCGGAAAGACCGTCTTCCTTACCTTCGCCCCCTTCCCCAATGCACCCGGCAGCCCCTGGACTTGAGAGCGCTCGGCCCGTGCGTGTATGAGGGGAAGCTTGGGCCACTCGGTCAGGTCCCTTGGTCGTCCTACTGTGCAGTGGGCGCCACTCCCTACTCCATCCTGAAATCCACACCGGGTAGGGCTTGGGGCTCCTGTGGCAGCAGGAGTGGCCCAAGACTTGAGGATATTCGGGCTTAAGAAGGCCTCTGCCCATCCCCCCCCCCACCCGCCCCTCACACTGCCCCCTGCACCCTGCTCACTGTGTGTCCAGACACAGCAGGCCAGACCTGGATGCCTCCTCAAGCCCATGGGATAGGGCTGGGGTCTGTCTTTCCAGAACCACCTCCCACCCCGCTTTCATGAGCTGGCTGGTGGTGTGGAGCGGAGAGTCTCCTGGTAGTCTGGGGTGTGGACTCAATGTCTGTGTCTGCCACAGCCTCTGTCCTCCCAGTCACTGAGTAGACACGTTTACCCAGTACTGAGACAGGGCAGGGCTTGGTGGCTACTGGCCCCTCAGGGCTCAGCATGGGATGTTAGAGGACAAGTAAGTGCCTGGGTCCTGGGGAGCATCTGCAAAGAAACATGCATCTTTGAGGGACTGCAAGGAGTGTCTGCATCCCCATGTCTCTGTGGGACACCTCTCTCCTGTCACCTACTCCACCCAGGTTTGAGGGATGAGAAACAGAGGTACTAGTTACCTTCTGGGCTTTGTTCCATCTGACCTCCCTCCCTCTCCTGCAGAGCCTGTGAAGAGACAGCAGGTGTTAGGTTGGCTCCAAACCTCCCTTCCCAGCCTTTGTGCAGGCTGGGCTCCCCACCGGGCATGTCCTGCCCTTGGCCATGAGCTTCTCACCCAGCATCTCTCAGAATCTCTGTCTGCTTCTGTCAGGCTCTCTTGTACCTCTCCCATGGCCTGTTTCTAGCCATCACAGCTTTGTGAGTGAACTTGGGCCAGCAAGAGTTAATCAGACCAACCTGTCCAGCCTCTCCTACTGGCTTCTCTCCCTCCCAAGCCCCAAGCTGAAGCTTTGGCTGAAGCTGTGCTTGTGGGCCTGCAGGTGGCACTTAGGGAGGGCACCCAGCTGTGAGAGCCCTTTTCCTGCCAGGCTAGTCCTGCTGGAGGAGCATGCCCTGCCCATGGCATCCAGAAATGGCCTCATTAGGGCCTGCCTTGTCTCTGCAGCCATGCGTGGGTTGGAAGGGATGTGGTCTGTGGCCTGTGAGGGCTTCTGGCCTGGGGATGAGGGCTCCAGAACCCAGGAGGAATTTCAGCCCCTTCTCCTGGGAGGGCAGGCCCAGAACTGTCCCCTCCTTTTGCAAAGCAAGAGGTACTGCCGTAGTTTGGCAAGGGGCCACTGAAGGTTCCTGGCTCAGATCTGGGGCTCCTGCTGCCCCAGGGAGCTTAGAGATATTTTACTAGGGAAAGGTCTGTGGCAGCCCCTTCACGGCCACAGTCTCAGCCCCAGGGCTTCACCACCAGCACTGGCCTAGTGCCTAGGGTCCCAGGGGAAGAGGAGATTCCAGGAAGATGGAACAGCTGCCCAGAGCACCACTGCCCTCAGCACCCCACCCTCACTCCCAGGGCCCAGCAGCACCTCCACTGTCATTCCTGGGTCTCTTGGGGCATGGTGGCCATGCTTTCCATGGCTGGCACACCATGGACCACGGACCTGTTGGTTGCCTGCTCATGCCAAGCATATGTCTAGGTGCTGGGAGAAAGCTGGGAACAAAACTTAGAAATACCCCTGCCTCAAGGAACTTACATTTTTAATATGAAAGCCCAAGGTCTCCGCTCTATATCTTCTGCCTCTGAGACACTGGCAAGAGCGACGTTGGCACCAGGCTCCCTCCCCCATTCCACTCCCCCAGCCATAGGGCTGAGCCCCTGTCCCAGTGTTTGGAGTCACAGGTGCTCCTTTTACAGCCAGGTGGGGCTCTGCATCCAGTCCCAGCCCCTGCTCACCTTCAGGGAGTCGAGGAAGCTGAAACTGTGGGCCACCCGATGGCACACAATGATAGCCTCGGCGAGGACAAACCTGACCCAACTCAGACTCCCTTCAGCTGGGAGGGAGTGGGTCTGTGGCTGTGACTGAAGAGGCCAGGTGCCTCTGCCTCAGACAGGCATAGATCTCGGGGTCCAGATCACACCTCCAGCTGTAGTTTGGCTTTTCTCTGCCATAGCCTCATTCTCAGCTGCCCAGCTCAGCAAACCCAGCCCAAAGCTAGAGAGGGCTCATTTGCCACTGGTTCTAGCCAAAGTCCCAAGGAGGCGTCCATTGGCCTGGTCTGGGTCTCACATGACCATCTCTGAGCCAATCAGTTGGCAGGAAGGGCTGGGAGGCTCTGATTGGACAGGCCTGGGCCACATGCCTATCCCATGTGAGAAGGAGGGTAGCCTATCAGAACCACCTGGGCTGATTCCTCCTCTAGCGGGGAGTGGCTGCTGGGGCCAAATCGGTAGATGTTCCCCATGCTGCTATCCATGTTCAGGTACTGCTGGAGTGTAGAGAGCTCAGAAGACCTCCAGAGAGTACAGTGAGAAGAGACAAGCTGGCAGTGGGCAGCTCTGCAGAACAGGAATTGGCAATCCCATTTTGCAGAGGAGAAAAGATCAAGAGAAAGGAAGTTGCTTGCTCAAGCCAGGACGTATGGAGTCAGGATTTAAATCCTAGTTGAAACCCCAAATCCTTTTTCTTGCCATTCTACAAAGCACGGGCATTGGTGTTGGGCTTTGAAGGCTGCATAGGAGTTTACTAGGTAGGAAAATGAGGAGAGGAATCTGCAAGCAGAGGGAATGGTACAGACAAAAGTGTGGAGGAGTGAAGCCTGGGATGTGAAGCAATGTGCTGTGGGTGGAGCTCTGGGTCCTTGAGAGAGAGTGGTGGGATGGGAGGCAGGAAGATACCCTAAGTTGGGGTTCAGTCATGAATAGCCGTGAATGACATCCTAGGGGTTGGGGTGTTCTTCCTATGACTGTCAGAGGGCATCGGTCTTTAAATAGTCACTGGCACTGGCAGGGTACAGAAAAGCAAAACATCCCCTTCCTTGTAGAACTAACCTTCCAGAGGGGTCAACTTACACAGAAATCAAAAGATTTCAGCAGTAAAGTGCACTGGAGGGACTGGGTGGGAACCAGGGTTTGCTGTGAGGTGTGAGAAGCCCTGTGGGTTTAGAGATCACCAAGGTAGGGAGAGGAGAAATAAGAGACAGGTGAGGCATCTTCTCCAGTCTTGGTAATTGTCCCAGGGAGAGTCCTGAGACCTAGCCAGGGCTGGCTGTGGGCAGGGGAGGTAAAAGTGGGGGTCCAGAGGGTTCCGGAGGCACAGCCAATGGGACTGCCCAGCGAGGATCGTAGATCAGGGTTCCATTCCAGATGGCCTGAGGAGTTCAGCAAATGGAGTTTGAAATAAATACACAGGGAGAGCTCTAGTTCTCTCCCCGTAAACAGCAGAATTGCTTCTTATAATACTTGAAAAGGCCTTGTCCAATGTGTGCCTCCCTTGGGCCTGATTCCCAGAAGGAATGGCCCTGACTCTGAGACATGCAGGTGACCCCAGAAAGCCCCTGGGGGAAGGAATGGGCAGGGCAGAGGCCCTCGGAGGCCTCTTGGGAGCCCATGCCTGCTGGCAGGAGTTTGCTGGGTCCTGGCTGTCCTGCTTGTCTGCTCTTGCAACACTGTGACCCAACTGAACTTATTAACCAGAAGCTGGGTGTCATCATCACTGCTCGCTGGACTTCGGAGTCTCTAAACAGCATCCCCCCACATGATGACTGTGCCTTCACCCTGCCTGGGGTGAGGTGGGCATATGGCAGGTGGTGGGCATGCAGAGGATGATGGCCATGCTTCTGCTGTAGGTTTCTAGTGCAGTGTTTCACCCAGTATCATGACTGGCAGAAGAGGCCTTGCAAAATGGTGTGCAGGTGTTCTGTGTGTGGCAATCACATGGCCTTGAGCAGCTCTCTCCGCTCTCCCTCCCTGGGCTGGCATTTCCTCGTGGGTCAGTGAAACGGGGCCCATTGGCCTGTAGGTGCCATGAGGAGGGACAGGTGACATGGTCAGGATGAGGGGGGCACACAGAGTCAGGGCAGCATGGGCATTAAGAGTGCAGACGCTGACACCAGTGGCCTGGGTTTAAATTCTGTTTCTGTCACAGCAAGTTGCCTGTGAGTCCTCAGGCAAGTTTCTTTGCCTCAGTTTCCCCATCTGTCAAGTGTGATAATTATGGTTTCTACCTGAGAGGGGTAGGCATGTCAGTGTGCACCAAGCACCCAGCACTGTGCTGAGGCCTGCATGCCCCACCATGCTGCCTCCTTCTGTCTCCTCCTCCTCTTTCTCCCAGCCTCGGCCCTGTCATCCATCACTGTCTCCCTGTCTCTGTCACTGTTTTTGGCACTCCCCCATCCCCCGTCGCTTCTTCCCTCCCATCGTCCTTTCCTCCTTCTCTCCCCTGTCTCCCTAACCTCCAGCTGGTTTTGTTTCCTTTTTCTAAGCATCACTGAGTGGCTTTCCCTGTGCTGCTCTGAGGCGGGGGCGGGGGGGGGGGGGGGGCCTCCTGGGCTATGCTGTCTGGCTCTCCCTGGCCTGTCTGCTTCACTGTCCCCTTGGCAGAGGGTGGCAGGGAGCCTGTGACCTAGAGCCCAGTGGAGGGGCTGGGGAACAG